ACCTGACTAATCCTTTCTTTCCTAAACACGGCATCTCGGTATTCTTGTATGCTGAAGGTGGCAGCGTATTGCGGCTCCAGCATCAGGAACGACGTCATCAAATGCTCATCACGGGACCATGCAACTTCGTCACTAGCAAGCAATTCGATGTACGGTAGAAACCCGACGACTTGTGAAATGCGATAGTGCGATTATATTATGATAAATAAAGACGATGCTACAGCCAAACGTCATAGGACTCGAAAGAGCCAGCGGTTTTGACAAAGGAGTATTTCTTCATTTCTTGCGCTACTCTTCTCAATAGTCTACCGCTTATCGTGCCTGCGCGGTGTTCATGTATATAGAAATCCGACAAGGAGCTCAACCCAAGCAGTACCACGACAGTGAGTATTTCGGCATTGTATCCACGATCTCATTTAAGAGTAAACTTATGACATAGTGAACCTACTCGTATCTATGCCTAAGGCAAAAAGTTTAAAAAGTGCAACATACCAAAATTGAGACACTCTACCTATGTCTCCAGCAATCATTCAATGTTTAAGAGATCAGAGTTGATATAGGGATATTGAGCTGTTATTCCTAACCAATTTTGAGACTTTAACTATTCTAAGCTTGATTCGACTTGCTATAATGGCCTTGATCGGAATAGTGGAGTAATAACAGAACTAGCTCCTGTAGTGAAGGAGTCTTAGCAAGACGGCAAGTTTCGCTCTAAAATTAAACCTATCATAGAAGAAAAGGAACGAGTCAAATTGTAGAAGTTCAGAGAACCGCACAGTAGGTGAAGACGGGTCATCTAAGCTATATCTAAAAGTAATTAATACAGAATAATTAACGTTGATTTCGCTTCTTGACATTCGTCATGAGGAAATGAATGAATTGTGAGACACAGGGTAGGCGCCTGAATACAAATGGGAGTCATTGCATTGCGGAGTCATTCGACACGTTTGTATAAAGGGCAGTGACGTCGAAGGACTCCATCACGCACGCGCTGTTGGGCTGCGCAGTACGTAGACGATCCAGAAACATCTGGGTATTCGTAAGATGGGCTGGAATGTGTTTCAACAACTGGTTAAATATCAGGGTTGAAAACCGTGTTATCCTGTCCGTTGGCCCGTCTACACAGCTAATGATAGGTCTAACCTTAAATAGTGATGAATCGGTAGACGCAAGATCATCGCTGGATACTAACTTATGAGTTTTTATAAGTAGGTACAAGACGGGGCATGTTGGTAAGTCAACTTTAAGTTGAGAGATAACTGATGGTTTTAAACCAGCAACCCTTGCCATTTTGGCCCATTCGTGGTTCAATTTTCGGTATTTACTTTTGAATTCCTCCTCAGATGATGGGCGATAAAGCGAAGCATCTTCAAGATGCTTTTTCGTTATCTCCACATCCAACTGATGAGGAATTACGACAAACTCTCCACCCTTATCACTAACGGATAGTCTTATGGTTTTCAACCTTATCAGGTCTCGTACCTCTCGCATGCCACGTTTTTGCACTGGGAGAAAGTGTATTGACTGTCGAGCTAAGACGATCTTTTGTCTCAGTGATAGCGCTTCTTTTACAAGTCGGAAGTATCTTGCTGGTACATCTTGCAGTAACTCCCACGACCGACTTTCTATTAACCTCGGCATTAACTGGTTTTATAGTCTCTAAAAATGCCGGCAATTAAATTTACACTACTGTGATTCCCACTGCATTTCGAAACATTGCCGGTTTGTTTCGAGCCATTATGGTCTCAAAGCGACGGATTCTGATACGCAGAAATCCGATTTTTGGAGTTATGGTCGTGGGAGTTATTGTTGAGAGTTTCAGTGTTAGTGTATGTGAGGCCAATGCAAATGAGCGCATAAACGGGAGGTTTGAATTGTGGTTTAGAGAACCAAAACGGAAATGATAACCATCCTACTAACTGATCTACTAAGAGAGAATTCATTTATCAAAAATGAGAGAAAAACGTCTGAACATGGGAACTGCTTAACAGCACGACGCATGCGAAGATCGATCACATTCTGGCAAACTGAGAAGTAACCAGCCACCTTGACACCTTGGCAGTAACATCATTCCGTACTGAAACCGATCAAGCCGTTCCTACATAAAAGCTTATAGCAGAGCAGCAGAAACTGTTAGCTCAAAACTCAAATGCCGGCGCCCACTTGTTCTACACAACATTCCAGCCAATATGTATCCTTTCTTTGATAAGCTTGCACAAGGTTGCTAAATAATGTTTATTTACGGCTGTTGTTTCGACGGTTTCATCTTCATTAGTGCCGATGGTCCCAGTCGATGGTCCGCAGTCGTTCGCGTTCTCGAAGTAGCGTCCTCGTCGCATATTGAGTTGGATCTTTCTCAGTAGAGCATCTCTCTCTATTGAGATATACTCACCCGGCGATGCTCTTTTATACAGGATAGTTCTTGTCGACAGCGGTGATTGTCCTGTGATAACCATTTGTTTTTCCGGACAAAATTCCTGCCAACGTTTTGACACAGAATTCAAGCGGTGGTTGTCGCCTCACTAAGAAAATCTTGGACCGGCTGAATGAACCTTTTGGTCCATGTCCTCTGAATTATAAACAGCAATGACAACATAAAGCTGAACTAGTCCGACTAGAATACGGGAAGGGCATGGTATTCTCTATTCAGGGTAGTACACACCCTAAGCACAAGAAAGGTGAATGCGTCATGCAGTCTGAGCTGATGATGTATGGATGAGCAGAACAACAAGGTCGACTACAAGAAAGTGGATTCTCAGAGATGTGTTTCTGTAAATGTGCGAACGTCTTCGGAGCACACATCAAACGACTATACTGGCTGTTAGGAACGACTAGTGATGATGGAATGACATCGGAATACTTGCAGACGTTGTCATGGACGAAATATCCATCGTTATGGACGCGATCGACACCGAACGAAAGGAATGAAGGATTGTTACGCCCTGTAGCATTCATGAACTCGAGATATCCAAGCATCTAGATAAGTATAAAGGGAGTGTCATGTTCTGGTTGGCTTATACCTTTCGGGTTTTATCGCAATTTGCAATCCGGCACACCAGAATACGTTTTTTATTCCCAATTTCACTTCTTTTTTAGATTTCTTCCTAAGATCTTCCCACTCTACATTGCTACTTCATACGAAATAGAATAGATTCTCATAATTTTTTATCAGAAACGCTTCATCACTACTAGACGATGTCCACCTATTCATCGAAAAGACCACAAATTCATTTTTGAATCCAAAAACGGCGTGGAGTGCACGTGACGTCGACTCTTCCACAGGTAATTAATAAGACTACGAGCTAGATACGTGGAGGAAAAACTTATTAGGAAGAAATATTGCCCAAAAAACACCAAGTGAACACCAATAATATCTGGCCAGTAATATGTAGCTCATATTATTTACGAAAACGAGCCACCCAAGTCCTCAAGTTTAAGAGCATCTTTCAACTCCACTCCTAGAGTTCCGTAACATCGGTTGGTTGTACCATACTTAGATCTCCAGAAGTTAACAAAATAGATAACAAACTTTTTAAAGCATTTCATTATGTTGCAAGCATTGCACATAAATAATATAACACCTCTTTCTTTCATAGATCGTATACGATCTGAACAATAGAACTTCTCTTAAAAGGACAAAAGTGGAAGATAGCATGGCAACATTATTGAGCAGAATGTAAGGTTTCTAATCGTTTTCCAATGGCGAAACAGACCCTTTGAACTATTAACTAGAAAAAAAAATAAAGCATAGACCGATTGTCAAGTAATGCTGTATAAAAGCTACAGAACAGCGATGACAACGAAAGGCACATGTACGGTAAAGATGATTATGGATGAAGCACGATTTCCGTTTCCGATGGCGATTACGGTTCTATTGCGAACGGTGAACCAGGGATCTCCTGAAAAAGAACAGTGCCAGAAATAATACCCATAGTATACATCAATAGTAACGCATTTATAAATAGGCTGAAAAGCTGAGAACACACGTCGGAGGTCATATAAAACCAACACTACAATTTTTGCTTCCTTAGTAAAACAAAATAAAATGATACTAGGTCGTTCAGAAATTAATGGCAAGTTTAACCTGTATTTTCCAAAGTGGCAGATCTCAACTTAAAATAAAGCTTATTAATAGGAATAAAGACAATTATAACCTATACATTCTTACCAATCAGAAACGAGTTACTTTTTTTAACCAGTTGCACAAAAATGGAGACTTCTGGAGACGACGAATTGGTCGACAGCAGTTTCGGACTCGGATGGACCTTTGAGGCTTTTCCGCACAGGAATTTTTCGAGATGCTTGAAGGTAAGACTTCTGTCTAATATGGTGCACGATGCAGAATTCCTTACTCCAGCTCGCTCAACTTTTTCTGCCTCAGTATTGGGACGTGTTGCCAATTCAATTAGTATCCAATACCGATGTTACCGATGTTATTCGACCTTCCAATTTTATTGAGCTGATTCAAAACAGTTGAGATGGCTACAATGAGATTTTGTGCAAGTTCTCGAACAACTGTGCGTGCATTTGCATCCACGGAAGCCTTCAAGTTATCATCGCCCTCGTCCGTGTCCTCCTTCACGTTGAACATCGCTATTCCTTACAATGAAATTTATGAAACCAACGTCGCACTGAGCATTCGTGAAGACTTCGCGGAACCAAATTTGCCGAATCCGCCGTCTCAAAACCTCATATTCTGACATGTAAATGTCCATTTTTTTATTGTTAAAATAGGCACCCGCATAGGCTGATCTAACTCGTCAAAATTGTCAATAATACAATTTATACTGCAATTAAGCAATGACATGTAATGGTACAATATTCGAAAAAACAGTAGTGCTAAAAGATATATAAGAGAAGAAAGAAAAAAAAGAAAGAAAAACAAATAAGATATATAAGTGAAATTACGGTCTGCAACATTTTAACAGGTTCAAAAATTCGTCTATTTTTAATGCTATTTGTGGTACAGCACACCTCAATGTTTGCCCGATTATCTAAAGTCAGCGGCAAAAAGCGGTTACCACAAATGTAAATGAAACAGTAAAAACCTCGTCTCCGTATTTGATAAAAATGAATCCCTTAACGCGTTCCGGTACTTTATATGTGACAACATAGTGACCGCTGCCTTGGTGCTTAACAACAACTTCGTCACATGGTCCTTTGGTTGTAACCACACCGACCATTAGAATATTCGGTCCTATATAAAGAATGAAAAGAAAAAAGTGAAGCAACAGCACTCAGATACTATATGAACCAACCAGCTGCACCAGTGTCGATCGTGAACATGGCTGGTCTTCCAGGAAAGAATTTGTTCAGCCCTGCACCTTTGGCTTCCACCTAGAACAATACGGATCCATAATATTGAATCTTTCCCTACCAGAATGGTCTGCTTTGAAGTGTTCCCGATACTGAAATGAACTAAGACGAATAGATCCACGATCTCTTATTTAATTTTGTATGAAGAGTTAATAATCGAGGATTGGACTTCACCACAGCACTGGGTATTTCTTTGATAACAGAGGAATCTATCTAAATTCTACAGCAATAGGAAAATAGAAGTTACTGCAATCTTTTTCATTCTTCGCTTCACCTTGTTAGCATCTCCTTTATATTCGGGAACAGTAGCGACGGTTCCTTTTGATGTTTTGGCCACGGCATCAATTTTAACAAGAGACGTTTCATTGTAGCCATTTCCTCCTAACACTTTTCCTTCCACAGGAATCTTGAATGGGGACCCAGGAATGTGAATACCTTAACGACATCACTAATTTGAGGGACACGTATTTTATGAAATGACTGCATTACAATGAAAAAAATTACGATAAAACCGTCGCACCATTATATTTGATGGCAGCGTAGTAGTCTCCAGGAGCTAGTGGAGTATAGCGTACTTTGTAACCAAGTTCAAGCTGTAAACCTATGATTCGTTTCGCGATTATATAACTGAATTAGGTTGCACAATACTTCATATGCATCCAGAGTCGCTTTGCTCGGGCCGTCCAGTTGAACATTGAGAATCCCAGCCCCAGCGTTGGCAGTGCGTACAATAAATTCACATTTCTAAAAATAGATGGAGAAGCGCTTATATACAGCATATATATACAGTATATACATATATATACATATATATATATATATATATAACCACCTGTCCGGTAACACCCCTCTTGATACCATCTCCAACTACGCTGATTGCAGTTGGATCGCATTCATCACGGCCACCAACCCTCAGGCGGAATGGCGAATCCCTCATCGGTGCGCCATCCAGAGTTACGTGTATGTAGTGGTTTCCACTCTAGAAATAAGAGCAATTTAGAAATATAACGCACACCTTCTTTCATCTAGGCTTACAAAAACTGCGTTCCATTTCGTGAAATAATCCCTGAACTTTGTATACCTTTCACTGTATTCTATTTCGCCGCGTCGTAAACAAATCTCAAAAAAGATTCACTTAATGTGTATACTGAAGATATTTTCTCCAGCCTATAACAACTTCCTCATTCACCGGCATAATAGTGAGCCGGATGCAACATGGTGAGACGATGTCGCCCCTCAAAAATCACTGAAGCGTATCTCTTAAGAAAGTACGCCGATGAGTAACAATAATAGATAGGTGCGGAGTGATCAAGTACTGGATTATTACGATTTCTTCTTCTATCGACTATGGAAGTGCTCAAACAAAGTCTCTACTTTTCTTTGGACACTGTCAGTTTCCGTGAGGTCTTGCTCGCTCGCCCATTTGCAGCGCATAAGTTACGAATGCCCTGCAATACACACTGAATGCGTCGCTGGTTCGATACCATGCCTCAGACTTACCAAGCATTTCATCGCTCCGGATCCGAAAATTGGTAGAGCACTTGCCTGTGAGGACAGCAACACTAACTTGACACATCGGCAAGGTACTACGAGTTCTACAAGCAAGATATGTACAATGCATGGCACATCCTTTAGGGATTGATCAGCATCGAACACTATCTTTATTCGCACTTATTCGCACGACGCACGCGAAAAGCACAATATTTCAGGCCTGTAGTGAAGGCTTCAGTATAATTAACGCCTTAGTGAGCGCTTGCTATTCGGCAAAACGTGGGCAATGGCACTCTTCAGCGATTTTTCAGACGTCTGATTTGATCGTCATATGTAACTTCCCTAACTTGAAATGGAGTCTTCTTTTTTATTCTATACGACTCGTCTTCACATTTACTGCGCGTATACTAGTACCTCTTGCATTTATTTTTTTCAACTCGTATTTATCGTTCACAACGACCTTTGAACATTTCGTAAGTTGTTTTGGCTGTTGTTTGAGGATTGTCACCTTCTTCATGAATGTCGTTGAATGCTGGTCGAATTGATTTCCTTTGGATTCTTGGAATAGCTGGACTACAGCGTTCCCACCATGGAGTCATACGATACCAAAACAATGGTTGCTTTCAACTTTAAACCAGATCCTTGGCACGATAGTTTTCAATCTCCAGCAGAGAAAATACTGTATGTGGTCGAAAAGTCACCATCGTCGCGAATGCGTTAATCATCCAAACCATATTTCGCAGTGCCCATGATCATCGACTGTTAATTAAATCTACAACTCCGAAACCCTCTTCCAATTAAATAAAGCTATATTCTTGAAGATTTTGTAACTCTCAAAGCTGCTCAATTCCTTCTGAATAGCTCTTATATATAAACCGTACAACGTGATGCATTATTATCACTTTCTCACAAGTATCAAAATTCTGAATGACATTTGTTTATTTGAGCAACCACTACGCATGTTCCAAAAATCATGATGAGGAAGAGTCAGACAAAGTGTCTGAAGCACAACAAAAAAGTGCTTGACAAATTCAGGCATTTGCACAATCAGCAGATTATTATTGACTTTCCCTGTAAGGTCAGATGTGTTCTCTTACAGCCAATATGAGTCAACAACAAAGCGAGCCTTACAAGATACGAGTACGTTTACTTACACCTACTATCTACGTTCTTCCTGGATGTTGCTAACACTCAGGTTGAGGAAAAGATCGGATTTAGTGTTTACACACGCTTAATGTGAGGGTGGTAAGTTTGAGAAACGCCGACCGCCCAATAATAATGCTAAGTTATTATTAGTGAAATGCACTTCACTCCTCAGCCTCATGAATATTCAAAGAGTAAGCCACGGAAACAAACTGAAAAAGGGACAACTTTTGCGAGCTTCTCAATGAATTATTTCCAAATTCCGAAAAAAAGACATTAAATATGTCATCAGAACGCAGAACGTGTTTTCGATTCCGAGAAGTGAGATCGTGGACAGCGACCACATAGTGTTACAACACCCACTGTAATCAATATTTCTCAATTACACTGGAAAACTTTCGAAAGTAGAAGGCATAAAGTAGCACGAATAGAATCTCCCGTTCCCGCGTTGCGTGCAAGAGTAGCAAAGTGGGTTTTGCTTTCGCTAGAGACTCGTTGAGGATCACATCTTTCTTCTATGGTTTTCGTTAAGAACTCTAAGTATCGGGTCGGAGCTCTTCCTGCAGTCCGTTCGACATTCCGAATTCAGTTGCTAACGGCTGATATCTATCGGTTGTCGTTCATGCGCATTATGTGTTCGACCTGGCTTATCTTCGAAAGTTTGGCGTCGTCAGTTCGTCTTCAGATGTTCTTCTGGTTTCGATCTTAGCGTTAAAATGTCCAATTATGACCTTAAATAACGTACAGTATTCTCTGTAAAACTTCTCCAAGTCCATGTAGAACGCTTTGACTTCGTTTACATCACAGCTTTATGTCGTCGCCTACACGACGAATTTGGTCAAAACCAGTATTGATCCACATCTCTTCATCCATAAAAGTCCGATTCGGGTACTTAGTTATTCACTTAAATCGATGTTTGTGTCCAAACACTTTCTGGTAAGAACGCCGACGTCACCGACTCCTCTCCTACTGCTCGTTCCGAGATGTCATAGACGGTGTTGAATGGTTGACGTCCTCTCGTCTCAGAGAGTGCGATGACGTCGTACCCTATCTCTAAGGACTCATCTGATGAGCGTGCATTGTTGGTGCAGACTGTTTCATCTTATTCCTTCGAGAATTAGGCAGCTTAGAAGTGCTGCGAGGTTTTAGCAGGCTCGCCTTTATCGTCCTATCCAATTCTGCCGAGTCGCAGACTCTTCGGAAGCAGAGCAATGAGGCCCACTTATTTCACAATATATAGGGTTTAGGTAAAAGTGTCTTCGATGAATCTATAAAGTTTTGAACAACTGAAATACTTTGGCGACGAGGAAGCTATCGTCAGTTATCGAAAAACAAGCTTCGTTGCGAAACGGTTAAACATCGATACGGATATAAATCACTTTTTGTCTCATTTCATTTTATACGACCCGTTTCCTACTTATACTGCGCGGATCCCAACAGTTCTCGCATTCACTTCGTTTCCACGCATCAACCATCCGCGAAGGTCTTCCTACTTTTACCAGTGACTTCGTCTGTTGCCTGAGGATTTTCCTTTCGCCACAAACGTTGTCGAATGTTGGTTTAGTCGATTGTTCCTGGAGACCTGAGGTAGCTGAGCTAGAGCGTTCCCACTTGGATTGTACACAGTAGACTTTCCACAGACAAATCCGGCTCCAATTCACCGATCCGGGAGAGGTGAGAAGCTGAGCACGGAACAAGATCGAACCACCACCGTGCTCTTGATTTCGGCATCACTACTACTATGCTATCCGCCCCTAATGTGTGTATACTAACTTAAACCAACTTCTTTCGAGTATTTTTCATAATGCAAGAAAACGGAATGCGCGATTTACAAAACTCACTACAATATAACTACAATGACGCTGAGATTTTTGCAGAATTTCATAGCATACCCTGCCATGGAAAAAGAATAGGCAATAAATAAAATGTGATTACATTGTGACTCAGTACAATTTTACAAAATTCAGTATCAGTATTAAAAAGATGAATGCCCGTAACTGAATAAATACGTGATTTTTAAGTTGAAAAAACAGAGATGTCCGTCTTTCCAGTCGCTCGCCTTTAAACGTAGATTTAAAAAAAACAATGAAATAATTCTTTTAATTGACAATTTTAAACTCCATAACTCAAGAAAACAATGAAACAATATTAAAACGACGTTTTTGGGAATTTACGTAAGAAAGCAAATAAGGCAGAAAACTCCAAACCTCTTTTGGGATAAACCGCAAAGCATAGCTCTCGCCATCTTCGATTGGAACAATGTCAATAGTTTCAATCTCATTTCTGGGAGTAACCACCTTAAACAACCACAATATAACATTAGCATAAAATTTATGAGGTAATTCATTACACCTTAGCTTCTAGTTGTCCTCGAGCACGATGTGTCAGTACGGTAAAAGTGAAGGCTTTTCCAGCCGGTATTCCTTGACCATGAAACTGAGCCAATTCCAATTTGCGAGCTTCACCAGTAGCAGGTGCGATAAACACCTACAATCAAACATCTTCGATGATGAAATTATTGAACCGTTGAGAAATACGAAATGTTATTTACAACGTGCCTTGAATGGTGAGTCTGTGATATGCTGGTCGTTGAACTTTATCCCTACAATATACTCTCCTGGCTGAGTCACCTTGTACTCTAAGTGACAGTTACCATCCTAGAAACAAAGCTCATATTGATTAAGCACTCGAATAACACTATACCTCAAGAGATATTTTTAATCACCCTTATAATTAAATTGAGATCTTCCCAATAAATGCACTTGAATTTCTGCAAACTTTTCCTTTATTGAAAATCAAGGGAAAGATGTTTGAAAACAAGAAACTTGGAGAGATTAAGAAGGCAAGGCTGTAGGATTGGACTGAGACAATGTAGTGCTTTCTCTAAATTTCAAACATATGAAAGGATTCGAGCATGGTAAGGTTGATCGGTATTTTTGAAATAGCCCAACAAATTCTCGTTGCAATTTTACAAGCAGACACACCGTCTTCCCAACCTACCCTTGAAAATCAAGCATTGCATCACTAAAAGACGGAAAAAAAACTAGCTCAGGGAATAGGAATACCAAATTCTATCATCACAGTCGAGAAATTAGCAATGCCACCTTATGCTCATGGAAAGCCATTTCAGCCTTGCCCGGACCCTCCATTGACACTGTTAGATTGCCTGCTCCAGCTTCTCGAGTGTTGATGTTGAACGACTGTGGAAAATTGGTCTCACCACGAATAACACCTTCGCCGGACGCTCGAACCTGACAAAAAATATCGCCTCTTTTTATATGACATAACAAGTACTTGACATATATGGCTGATACAATGCTCTAAAAATAATTTTCTATATTTCTGCTGAGCAAATATGAGGTGTTACATTCTTTATTTCAATAAAGCTAACATGAAAGGGTAAACTGATATGGGATTTATTACGCCAAAAGCTTCAGCAATACAAACACAAAGACAAAAATCTGCATGATAATCGCATGATCAATAGCTTCTTAAAAGACCCACCGTTTTTTACGGGCCTTTCGCTGAGGAAGAACAGCTGATTAGTCGTATATGGTTAATGAGGTCACCACCCCACAACAAAAGTCGATGTAAAGATACACAGCCAGACGACACGTGATCTCTGGGCGTTTTTTCTGCTATTCATTCTAGCTTTCTTGGCACTTATCCAGAAAGCCTTAAAAACTTTGCGAGTTGGTTTCTGAGCATCTTGTGCAATGACAGTTACTTTTATATCGTCTCCGCTATGCCTTTGTGTCCAACGCGTATCCCATTGTCTTGTAACATTGCGTCTTATTGCATGAGTTCAGGTACAATATACTTGATCTCCTGTAATACTTGCGGAAATGAATATGTTAGCGAAATACGCAGACCAGTATGCATCCGTATAAAAGAAAATCTCGATAGCAAACGAAAAACAACATAAAGTACCCCTTCAGGACGCAGAGGATACAAAAACAAAGCGGATATGATTTTGATATTAAAGTCGCTATCCTCGCGCAGGATGCCCAAACACCAACGCGCAAACTTCTTGAGGCTTTTTGATTAAATGCTAAAAATCCTACAATGATTAGCAGGGAAGATGCCCAAAAAAAACACGCGATCTATCTCCGTATCTTCGCATTGACTTTTGATGTAGGGTGGTGCACCCATCGACAATATGCGACTCTAATCAGGTGTTTTTCCTCAGCGCAAGGCACGCAAAAAACGGTGTGTCTTTCAAGAAACAGCTGATGGCGTGGTTGTCATTCAGATTATCATCTTTCTGTTCGCGTTATTGAAGCAACTGGCGTAATATGTTGCGTATCAACATACCTTTTTCTAGGCTCTGAAGAAGGCGATACTGCCAAAACATCAGCTTTGCCGTAATAAAAATAAAAAACACATGTTTGCTCAACGAGAATGTAGAGAATTATCTGATCAATACCAAGGTTAATAGAAAATCGGTCGTGGGAACTACTACAAGACATGCCAGCTCTAAAATTATTTCTATTTGTATTCGCGTGTTTTCAACCTAGTATGACTTCTAAAACATAAATAACCTTAGTTATTAGTGTTTTATAAACAAATGCAAACGAAAACCACATATATGTACATATATACTATTCATATGTATATATAATATGTACATAAACGCATATATACGTATGTATACATATATACGCATATATATGTATACATATGTTGATAGATACAAAGGTACGTAGATATATATGCATATATATACATAGATACATATGTAGCTGCGATACGTTCTTGTCAAATTGTTAACCACCTAGCAGCACGACTGATTGAGTATTCAAATGAAAATGACGATCAAACCGAACCTTGTGCGCTCCTCCTTCGGCAAACGTACCAACTGTGTATTGGAACGGTGAACCATAGACATGAGCATCTTTGTGCAGCACCGACAAGTAGTGCAGTCCTTCCATGGTAGGTATGCATCTGCAATGATATTAAAATGAGTTCCTATCTTTCACAATCAAACAGTATATTGAGTCGAGAGTATTTCTACCCTTTATTAGAACGACTATCACAATTTCACTGCCTATGTCGCATTTCGGTTAGCCGATATCCTAAACTGCTGAAGTGGTAGAAACTGCTAAGTACGTTTGAAAAGTCAGTAACTTGATCGTTAATTTTTTCCATTTCTTTTTGCCACACCTAAGCAGTTTTTCGACCACTCGAGTTTAGGGAACTGGTTTAACAACTTGCAAAATAGACTTCGGCCTGTCGCTCTAAGTGTACAGGATTTAGGATAAATCGTTTGACGTTGATCAATGCTGAGATACGAGCTCAGAATTCGATCGAATTCAGCAAACACTTTAAAGCTCATTCAATGCATAACGATCGAACAACTTGCGGTAGCCCACCGATATATCAAGTGTTGGCATCCTCTCAGATAAGCCCACTAGTAATTTTCCAACCCTGAAGGAAAAGAAGCCTTGGTGAGCCCGAGTCACACGATCGAGCCAATAACCACGTATTTATTCCAAATTTATTCCAAAGCATCTTTAACTACAGACAGACACTTCATGCTCAAAGTGTATAGCTCTAAAATTAAACTAAAAAATGTTAACATAACAAACAAGTCCTAAAAGATAAACGCATCAGCGGCGAGCGATCACCTCCGACGTCTTTTGCCTCATACAATCCCACTTATTCAATGGCATCACTTTATGAAACGTGTACGCTAACGACAAGAAACGAAAAAAATAAAAACGATTCCTGAAAACCATGCAATCTGCAATTCATTATGGTAGAATAAGTAGACTTTTATCTTATTTGGTAAATATGATTTCAATCAATAAGGATCACTATGTGCTGAGATATGTTTTTCAAAATTGGAAGGCTAAATTATTTCTGGCTTTTTAAATGGGAGTCATTTTGTGGCGAATGTGTTTAAAATAAATTTTTTTTTAGGAAATTTACTATTATCATCTCTACAATCAAGTGGAAATCGAAAAAATATTTGAACAACTGCCATCGAAGAAGTCATTATAGCTCAGATACTTTAATGTTTTAGAAAATGCCATTTGTCAACTCAAATTTGTTGCACTCGTTCATGTGGAAATTCGCCTAGTGGTGGAATCGTATCAAACGAAAATACAGGTTCATCATGGTGTCCTCCTGATTGTGCCCTCATCAGTAGCTATGTCCAATAAGATCAGATTTCACTACCGCTCAGTTTGCCTCATATTCCATCTTTCGGATGAAGAGAATACGATCATCAGCTGTCATTAATCAAAAACGCAACTAACGATTCCGAAATCCCGGAATAAGTGTGGTAAAAATGGTGGTCAAAAGTAGATTCTAATCAGTGACGTAGGCAACAGTGTAAAGAGCGGAAAAGCTGGTATGAGGTTAGCCTGAGAGATTGAAAACCTGGGAATAATTGCTCGAAGAAGGAACGGAAGTGATTTTGCTCGAAACTCTCTGTACAGCAAGTTTCTACAAATAAAAAAAAGTGGCTTTCGTAAATTAGCACTTCTCATAGTACAAAAACACATTTGACACAATCTATAAGGAAAATTTTCAGAGATTTTTCCGTGATAGCTGCATCTAGAATAGCATCCTTTTGCTTCTACCAATTCTTCAATGGTCTGACATTTGTAACCTATGAAAAGGCAATTAAACTACTAGCATGAAAGTACTCGCTTGTAGTTCAAGGAATAACCCGTCACGGTCAAACATTACAGATAAACTTGCCGCTTCGTAATGAAACAGTCCTTTCATTGTTACTACGCCTTACCCACAGGAAAATTGGCCCGTCATAAACAAAACAACGCAATTGCAGCAAAACCTCCCAAGACTGTTTACCACTGCGAAACACCTCTTGGAACCGTATTAATATATTTTGGGGATGTCACAGCAAAGTAGGAGGACATAACCAGCCCAGTGATGTAGAAATGTGCAATGTAAGTTGTTAAACCGCAATGTATAACTTTTATTTAGTGCCTATTACTTTTTTATTGCAGAGTATTATGGGAAATACAACCACAATGATGCTAAAATATTTGCAAAACTCCAGTCCAGATTCAAACCCCTAATCACCTTTTTAAGGAGCCTGACGTGTCACCCATTGCATCACTGATGCTTTTCCTGTGTCCTTCTCTCAGCCAGTTTTTTACCCTAACGATGATATCAGCAGTCACCCATGAACGGGAATGATCTGGAGAGCAAAAATCGGCACTGAACCCTTATAAGCTGAGACTGCAGTCGAAATCACGATGTCTTAATTTTTATTTACTGCCTTTCCTTTTTGTTTCAACGGTAGGGCAGGGCACGATGTAAGCTACGATCGGCCGAGAGGAAGGCGAACCAAAGTCCTCGGTTGATGTGGTGAGTAGCACGGAGGTCCTCGGTAAGCGTAATCGTCATGTGGAAGGTCCCAGCTTTGCTCATATCTCAGCATCCTTGTGAATGTATATTATGTGGAAACGAAAAGGATAGTGTTCACACTTCTGTTAAACCTAGCTGAGGCTGTAGTCGCAATGTCAAATCACAATGTACAACTTTCTCTTTACTGCCTAATATTTTTCAATGGCATGGTATTATGTGAAATACCGTCACCATTGTGGGAATTTAAGCTGCACGATACAGCTCATAAAACACCTCTAGCTCGCTGGGAACAAAGCGAATAATTCTTCCGCAATATGTCATACAATAAAAAGGTGCAACACAATACACCTTAGTTCATAATGAGTTTTACTAATCAAAATAAAAATCATTAGAATTAACATATAAAACAAGGTAGTTTCTTTACTCTCCAGCAATAAAACTCTGCATTCCGGAACCCCTACATCCGCTAAAAGCACGTTCTCGACTTTTTTCTTCTGACTGGAGGCCGTATTTCTAACACTAAAGCGAATAAACAGTTCAAATCTCGCAGCATAGTTGGTGTCTCCAAACTTTTAATGTCAGAGAATTCAAAAATAAAACAGCATCTTTAAAAAATCGTTGACACTCTTGGAACTGCAGCAACATGGTTCAAAACCTCTTTTCTAAAGCTGTAAAATTCTCAAGATCCCAAGTACTTTAGTTACTCAAATGTTAGCTCAGTTGACGAGAAGCCAGCTTCTGTGCGAATGGGCCAAAACTATCTATGTCCCAAAGAGTTTATGAGAAAACAGAAAGCAATGTGAGGCGATCTTCCGATAAAGCTATATACTGACGAACCAGAGCTTTTAGATTTTTCGTACATTCTCTCGTTGTACACTTTGACCTGCTATGCAGGTGAGACAAGAAATGAAAATTCAACCATGTTGAGGACCAACTTATCATCCACAGCGTTAAGGCAACGAATTTTGGTGTAACGAGTACTATTGTAACTATTCCTCGAATACATTTCTAAAAAACGGCTTTTACTTAACACTAGCATAAATAATTAACACATTCTTGGATTACTAAGCAGAAACAAGGTTGGTATGAAATATTTGTTATCGTTTCGACGTCTTCGTCTTCTTCAGATCCGGGTTAATTCGAGCCGATGATCCACAGGTGGTCGTCTTTGCAATAAGAATGCTCGCTGTTATATCGAGTCAAATCGAGTGAAGTGGACCACCGATCTCATGAACAATCTCAATCGACGGTGTTCTTATAGAGGACGGATGTTGATCTACTGCTGCCACCCAATATGATCTGTTACCTTGACCGCGATGCGTACTGCAGAAGTAGGCGGTGCAGAGGCTTGCGTAGTAATACATTTTAAAAAAACCGACTTTCATCTAACCTCAGCATAAGTAACCAATAGCTTCATGGATTGTTGAGCTAATACGAAGTTTTTATGGAACATCTACTCGGCTAACGCTCTCATGTCTTCGCCTTCTTAGGAGCTGGATTGATCCAAGTCGATGATCCACAGGTGGGCGTCCTGCGATGTCGGTGCTAGCTGTCATTTTGAGTCGAATCCAGTCAACCGGAGAACCGATTGAATATTCCTTGAATAATCAACCAGATGCAACCTTGCCTTGCAAACCAGGTGGTCCTTGTCTGGTTAATCCCTTTGTGTGAGCATGCTTTTGCATGTCGCTTTGTTCAAAAGCTTCCCACGTATACCGTAGTACGGACAAAAACATCCATCTGCAAAGGGTTTTCGTCTTTGTACGACAGCATATTATTCAGATCCTAACATTTCTTTCATTCGATCCGTTCGTTGCCTATCCATCATTCAGAAAGGTTTTCGGATTTAGGTGTAAGCTTGTCTACTACTTAAAGACTCCATGTTCCTCATGAATACCGTTGAGCATTACTTCAGTCAATTTCATTGGAATCCTAATATAGTCGTGATAGGGCATATCTAGGGATTCACCCCAGGTAGTCGCCAACCTGTGTCTATGTGGATCTCTTCTCAGACAAATCTGAGGCCAATATCTCAACCCTGTAAGAGTTGGCTAGATTAGTTGACCCGCAAATAGGTTTAACCACGGTCTTGCACGTATTATTGAACGACATCTACACCACTATGCAACCCATTTCCTTGTGTTGTAATAATACACACGTTGTTGGGAAATATTGTGAGCTTTTGTAGCAGTTGCTATTAATAATTACCTAAGTTAACAACACTTCTTTCGAGGTGTTGATAAAAAGCGATAACTAGGAAAGTCTAATTGCTTTAAATTAAGAATAGTAGGAGAGCTATGTATGCATTGCATTTTCGAATTGCACTTGAAGTGCTCAACATTGAATATGATTCTCTTCAGTTTCAACTTCTTCCTTCAAAAATCATTTCTTTCACCGTGTCGTAGGAGAGAATGAATTTTAGAGAGAAGCATGGTGAGAAACGAGTAATTACCTCATTAGATAAATGAAAACTCATATCTCCTCTATAAAATGAGCTTTCGAACTATCTAACTAATTTTTGAAAACACTTGGTAAGTGTCTTCAATAAGCATTCAAATCATGTTACCGTAAACAATCAAAAGTTGAATACAAATAAACCTTCGTCACAAATAAACCGCAACTAAATATTGTTTGTTTATTAAGTGACATTCCCAAATTTTCCTTTATACAAGAGATCTAAAATTAGTTGTAAGCAGCCAAGGTGCATAAATGCTGGACGAAAGAATTTGACCAATGCGATACACCTAAATTTCTCGTAAAGCAAAAAAGCGCCGCGTACTTTTTTTGGCGGGAAAAAAATGAGTAGTTCGTTGGGATGTTACTTCGCAGTGAACAAACCACTGAACAGGGCGGTAGAGAACAGACTTTGCAGTGCCCTCTTAAGTTATTCGCTAATTAGGAGACTACAAGTGAAAAGTTATGTAGAAGCAAAGAGAGAGTAGATACACATTGTACAAAGAACTGTGATATTTGGACCACAATAGTCAACTTTGAAGAGAAATTCCTTTTAGTGTGCCAATCCGTTTTATCCTTCTGGAAGCACGTAAGATTTAGAGCAATTTTTTGTAGCGGGTATTTTGACTCTTTCGTTACGAAGCTGGTTTTTCGATGATTGACAATAATTTCTCGATGACCAAAGTACTTCATAAAGTCACGGTTTCATAGGTTGCTAGGAATTTTATTTCGTCGTATTAGTCGCATGTACAAATTTTGTGCAGTACCCTTTCAAATCTAGATATTTTAGACTTAAAACGCCTGAAAAATTGAGAAGGTAATTCAAAGTTTTAGGAATTCCAAAGCAACAGCGGTATCTACAAACACATAATAGATTTGGAGACACCAAGTTGTCGCATGTGACGAACCTCCACTTGTTAAATTGCTTTCGTCTTCGAAACACGGGCCATAAAACAAAAAGAGCAAAAATTTAAAAAATCAGAACTTCACCTTGGCATAGTGAGAAACTTGTACCGTTTAGTCAAACATATGTGGATTCCAACAGTTTCTAATCTACCCAATAAAATTTGCTTTGTAATGAGATATGTTCGCCAAAATCTGACAGTACTTGCAATTTTCGCGTCGTATGACTCCTACAGAGGTCATTTCGTCGCGTAGGAGTCATGAGAACATAGCGAGTAGTGAATAACCGCCTTAAATGGACGTTTAAAAATCACAAAATCACCTAATTTGGAAGAACTGATTGCCGAGATCTCTTATTTCGACATCCTCCGTTCGTCCTTTAGGATCTAGGATTTTTGCCACAAGGTCCATCGGTGAAACATTTGGCAATTTCATATACATGAGCGCTTCCTTATTTGGTAAAGTTAAGGGAGCCTAAAAAGACGACCAATAAGCAGAGTGATGGTTCGGTTACAAATAAACAACTAAAAACATATCCTAACCTGCTCCGCTCTTCGACTTATTTCTACACGTTTTCTGCCAGCACCTTTACCAGTACATTGCACTGTGAAAGGGCTATCTAGAAGGAAATTACTATCATTGCGCACATATACAAACAAATTTTCCTCCTAACAATAACAAAAACGTCTGAACGTGTGTACAAGCGAGATATTTCATATACTTTTCCCCATTAAACGAAGAATCCAAATAACATTTCAATTGTAAAATAGAAAGGCTGAATTACAAAAGTTCGTCCTCAAAAAGATTGACATTAAAGATTTCTGAACACGTTGAAAAGTGAAAACAGGCTGTGATAAATTGCAGCGTTCCTAATTTAACTATGGCAGCCAAACCTCTTTCTAAGTATTTGTGATTTTCAGATATGACCTCCCTAAAAAAATGCTAAGAAAACAGTAACAAAACCATAGGAATTCATGAACACTCATGTCAACATCTCATATTTTACTAAACTCGGTTTGACTGTTCAGCTGAGTGGCATTAACTTCCAGCAATCGCTTACAAATTAAACCTCGGCGTTTGCGTCAAGTGCATAACAATGGTGCCAATATTACTTCCAGTTCCTTTACTGCACTTCAGACCTTTATTCTGATCGACCAACAATGTTATTTTAAAGAACAACGGCCGATTTTCGTTTATTCAAGAACTGTAGATAATTTTTTGGTAAACAGAGTACATGAGGAGTTGTAAACTTATTATTACTATGACTCATATTATAGAAAACGCGTCGCCCTACCAATATCCGGATGTAAACGATTTTCCTAAAATGTTTTTTCAACTTAAACATTTTTAAAATTTCAAATTCACAAAAACCAGAAACCAGATCTACATCCATATTAGAATTAATAAATAACATCATTGTCACTACTCCTAATACAATTATGAATACAACCACAAAAGTCTCAACCACCAGTGGTGCAGTGCTGGAGAACAGCCATATCTTGTATATGAAATCTTTCACACTCAATTAGTCTTCAAAATACGTGCCATGGAAAATAGAAGCAGGAAGCAAAAATCCCTTTACCAGGTGCAAAAAAAACAGGACTTATCACTACAGAACGAGAAAAAAAAGTTATATCCTTTCCTGGCAAAGATTTGTCGGTGCTAATGGCTTTCATTTCAATCAACGAAATCCAGTAGAACTCGTATGAAATGCTGAGATATTGGCAAAACTCCGGACCGCAGGTGTATGCAGTGGGGAACGAACACGCGCTGTTGTCCTTACCGGGGCGCAGCGCACTTCACCACCACACCATCCGGGCCGTTCGTCTTGCCTGTCTCTCAACTAGTTCTATCGATATATAACTGGGTTCAATGCCGATTTGGGCTCCCCAGATCAATCCCGTTGACGGGTGATTGCTGATGGCAAAAAGATCGATAGAATTAACTGAGAGGCAGGCAAGACGAAGGACCCGGATGATGTGGTGGTGAAGTGCGCTGCTCCCCGGTAAGGACAACAGCGCATGTTCGTTCCCCACTGCATACACCTGTGGTCCGGAGTTTTGCAAATATCTCAGCATTTCATACGAGTTATATTTCGCAACATACCCTGCCATTAAGACGAAAAAGGCAGTAAATAAAAGGGTTAAGAAATCCAGTATGTTTTACTTTTTATTTTCCGCCTTCTATAATTTTTATGGCAGAGTATTAAGAGAAATACAACCACTCTCTAGCACTCAATGATTGTAACCATTCTCTTTTCGAAATCCAGTATGTTCTGAGATCCGAATTCATCTATATCGCATTTAAAAAAAATTCTTTTAAAGAGAATAAGAGGGCACTGTAAAATAAACTTGTTAATTATTATCCAAAGGAAATTCCACTTTATTTGAAAATATGGAAGTACTGCGGCTGAAATGACTTGTTTAACAAGGGATTTGCTTTAAGTATAAGAAAATGCTGTCACTAGCCACCTTTAACATGATGGTCGGCGAACTTCACAGCTATGACATACACTCCAGGTTCTGTTGGTTTATAGTTCACCTTGACCAACCCTGCTTTGACTTCCTTGCAGCCGAGCTCTGCTTTCGATGGTCCTTGCACTGAGACTGATAGACCACCATATCCTAAAATTTATTTCTGAAAAGCATAAAATAACCTTGAAAATCCCAGTATTGGTTCTAGCATATGAAAGTCCATTTCCGCAAAAAGGTATAACATGGATAATTATGCTCTAAAAAGTGTGAAGCCTATTCTACTGCAAGTCTTGAATATTTTAGAATCTTTGTTTTCAACATTGCCATCTGTGAAAAAACCGTCTAGCATTCGGTGATTGTAACCACTCTCTTTTCGTAACCATATTGCCCTTAGCTTCATGGTGAATGGTCAAACTCAAAAATTCGCATTTAGTAACTAATTGTAAGGAAAAGATGTCCTACAAATTTCCAGAGGATAAGTAAAGAATTTTGGTAAATAACGGCGGTGTTAGTTCGAACAGTTGTTGATCATATGATAAAATACACATGCTCGATCTTTGACCCACAAGACTCCATAGAGAAGGAAAATAAATACGAACTATGATGTAGAAAACTTGCTCCGAGAGTTGCTGCTCTGAGTACACATTTACTCCAGTGAAACAGATCTAATATGATGAGGCCCACGAGTTTGAACAACTACTTCATGTGAGAAAGCATGATCTGGCTAGTACCGAAGACAGAGGCAAAAAGCAATTGTAACAAAGGGCCTTAAAAGAAAAATATAAGCTCAAGAAATGATTCCGTACAGCCTCCGTACTAAGCGATGGTTGCAAAAGCTTGTTTTTGCAAATCGAGCTTGTTAAATATTTGTTTGATGATAATTCTGCGCAAGATCTATTCAAGATACCGGCTTTACTGGTGTCAATAAGAATTTCGTTGTCTTTCATGCATTCAGCGCTCGTTTTCCCTGCACCGCTTACTTGGACCTTGCTGGCGTCGCCTACTTGTGACTTGTCCACCTTAAAAAACGTCTCATGTACCAGACGAGACTCCTGATGAATAAAAAGCGCTAAGCTATCACCTTGATCTTGAAAGGTGCTTTAGGTAGGAGTTTTCCATGTTTTTTCACTGATATCAGATGTTCACCAGCTTCACGTGGCGTAAACGAAACGCCTGAATGGAGTGTTCAAGACGAAGGCATTTTGAAGCAGTAGGAAAGAAAGTAGTACCAAGTCTGCCGCCTTCAATAATGCGAACGAAACACGGTTCTTCTATACCGGATGGAGATTTAATCGAAGCCGAAATACCCTTTAATTCTGACTCAGTGATGTTCAATGCAACCTCGGAAGTTGAGCCAACGGAAAGATGAGCACGTTTCTGAAAAGGAAAAAACCACAAGAACTGAGGCGAATATGAAAAGAAAAAACATGAGCGAAGAAAGTATTCTTACTGAATTCAATTAGGAACCATAAAAGTGATATCACAACCAAAACTACTCGAATTACCGATTATCAAATAAAACTTAAGCAAAAACAATGACAATGAAAATCTCACTGCTCCTTCACCAGCTACTAGCACGTTGAATGGAGAATTGTGAACTTCCTTGCCACCGAGTTTTACATGAACTTTGTATTCACCAGGTACAGGAGGTACCCACGTCACTGAACATGTACCATCCTGAAAAACGCATAAATCTGCGATCTTGCAGTGTAGTGCTAGCATAATAAGCTCGGAAATTCGAACTTTAACTATGAATATTTCATTTTCATAGACTTCCACGATTTTCCAATAATTTCCATCTCAAATGGTTGAGAATTTTGATCAAATCGCAATCGCAGAATGCTGTTGATATCTCAAGCTATTAAGTGCTTTAAGTCTCTATCTATACCAAACAGGAAATAATCCTTTAATCCAAAGATGATCCTTGGGATGATTATGATGATGAATGTAGACGTAAAAGTACCAGAAAAGAATTTCATTCACGTCCTAAGAACTTGACTCCCAAAATCATTAATTGACTTAAAAACTTTTCAGATTGGATATAGTAATACAGAAACAATAAGAGAAATCAATAATAAAAATTGAAAAACTAGATTTAATACTACAGGAAGCATTGCAAACCTTATTGTCATGTATTTTAATCCTGCTTTGCGCCGGTCCTTCAATGCTCACTGACAACTCCTTCGCAGCGGATCCTTTCGCACACACAGTAAAGGCAGCTGGCTCTCCGACAGATGTATTCTGCAGACCTGGCCCGTAGACGGTAGCATATCCACCGTGGTATCCATCCACATAGAAACGAAGAGGGCTTCCCTAAAACTTTCCTCATTTGGGATATTTTACCGGGATTTCGATCAAATAACGATAGAATAAATCTTATTATCCTTATTGTTAATCTTATAGGGTATTCAACTTAGCTGGTTATGGAACAATGGTTCAACTTTGCGGTAGGTTCTTCTCAATGTTATTTCGAATGGAAAATTACTCACATCAATGTGGGTTCCGTCTTGTACGATAGACAACTCATGAGCACCGGGTATCTTCGGGACGTATTTCACTTGGATCGTTCCTAAATACGATATGAGTGGACATAAAATTTCATATATCCTTGACAAGTGACAGAAAGATGATTTTAATTCGTCAAGTGTTTCTGATGATGTGCTGGTATTAAGAAACCAAATGAAGAATGGTGTTCGTTAAAAGCAATACATTTACTACCATTTCTTCCACATACGCCGCAAACAAAGATTATATAAAACTTCAAACACAATTCCCCCAATACATGCGAAGACGGAATACGTTGGAAAAAAAAACTCAGAGCATGGAATGGTTTTATCATAGCAAATTCTTGCTTTTTGCTTTCAAATTCCCTAAGATATTACTAAAAGATGTTTTTTTATAGTAATCAAATCCACACCATGTCAATTCCTGCAATACCGGGAAGATGAGGAGCTAAACACAAGACAACACCAAAACATTGAAGCATGGGTATGTAAAGCATTTTGCCAGTTAACTTTCTTTTAAATAAATATGACTTATGAATAATCCGTCATCACGAGCATGGTGCTAGTTCGATTCCGCTCCAGACCAATCAAGTCTCTCATCTCTTCGGGGTCGGAAAATTGACACCTGACTTGTCTAGGAAAAAATTACTCTGCAATCCAATTAGGAACGCTCCAGCCCGCTTATCTCAGGACTCCAGGGAGAATTACTCGACCAGCATTTTAAGACATTCAAGATGAAATGAAAACCCTCAAGCAGCAGCCAAAGTCACACTTAATGTTGGAAGATCTTCGTGGACAATGGATGCGTTGAAGCAAATTTAATGTGAGAAGTGTTGGCAGCAGCACAATAGAACCGAAGAAGTGTCAAGTAAAATAAAACAAGAAAAACAAGTATTTGTCCCAAGAGAAGTTCCAAGATTTTGCCCAAGTAGTTCATCCGTTCGTGTCTAAAAGTCTATTTACTAATGGAAAACATTGTTACGCATCCTAGTATCGCCATTCGAACCTGACTCATTCCCATTACCGTACCGTATGAATATCTAGTTACTGAGCACTAGCCAATTAATATTGTAAAATCTACGACTAACTTCTTTACGTAATCACAGCGATATAAATGAACGTTTTGCAGTAACCGAGAATGCAACATCCAACTAAATTTGTCCAGGTGGATGGGTCGGTGGACTTCGAAACAAGTGCATTTAATGAAGTTCTTGATTATTGATCCATGCTACTTCTTCCTTTTCCAAGCGACGAACTAAATACATATTGGAGACATGTGGTTTCTCTTTCTAGCAATAATCGATAATGTTCATGGCACCAAGAGCATTCTCGATTGACTACAATTTCAGCTGGGATCGCCTAAGCAATTGTTTATTTTTGTTCTAAACTACAGTGGAGTTCAAATACATAGAAACTCAGCTGAACATCGGGCTAGTAGCTCAGTTAATCGTTCTTGAAGCTCACTCTTTTCAACGTACATCTATGATATTGGTTTCCAGCATGCCATTATTATTATTAAATACTACTATTACTCGTTTTTCTTTATCTTCATATTATACGACCCCTCTGCACATCTACGGCGCGGATTCCAGCAACATCCATCATCCAAGGTCTTCGAACAATTCGCCCCTTGTTTCGGCTTCTGCTTGAGGATTTCTTCTTCTTTGTGAATGTCGTAGAATGCTCATCAAGTCGACTTTCCTTGCAATATTAGCAATAGCCGAGCTAAGGCATTCCTACATGGATAGGAGAGGAGCGTTTGAAGGGTGCCGTACCAGCAGTGCCTTGCTTTGAAGAGTCTGCCACTAATCACTCCGCTACCCCATTCTTGGCTTCAACGCATTTGACCGAGAAAATCTTTCGGCTTTCAACTAAAGATTTCCGTTCCGTGCACTGGTGTAACGTTGGAATGCCCTCAGGATGCCGTTACCAACTATAAAGATTTTCAGCTTGCACACGTAAATAACACCTTTCGACTACATATCCAAGCTTGAATAATAAAAATGGGGCCAACTACGATTCAGTTCTGATTCAGATGCATGATAATATACGATTATATGCAAAGACAGAATTTACCGTCGTCGTTATCAGTGATCTGAGCATGGTCAGTTTGTTGTGAAGGCATTGTGACCACTGCTTTTAAAGAGTTCACGTGTACTGATGAAGGAACGTTTAACTGGAAAATCAATGTCAGTCTACAGAGCTATACATATTTCAATTTCCTCTTAATTTCTTGTTTTTGTAAAACCCACTGTAGACACGTAAGACTAAAGAGCTTCACAATTTTAAAGCATTTCGAAAAAATGGAACAATTGATTCATTTCTAGACGAAGTTCATTACTCTAACTCTAGTTATATAAACTGTACATGCACATACTCGGAACTTTCTTGTCTGCAATAAAGTTGAACTGGAAAATAATGAGCGTGGAGATGAGGTGATGCTCGAATGGTGATGACCAGAAGGTTTAGTGCTGACCGTGACAGCAGAATCGGGGTATCGAAATGAAGAGCCTATATACTCCTTCCTGTCACTATGAATGTAACTTTGGTTAGTGATCACAGTAGGATAGTGTAGCTCGTAGCGATCTACAGGATATTGGAAATCGCTTGAGTTGACAGTCCTGAGTTGATCAGAGGAAACTGCCTGCAAATATCAGGTTTGAAAAACGAATGAAACATCAAAGGAAACAGAATGTTTAAATAATTCGCGCCGATACGATAAGATCGCACAAGAAAGAACATTTTGAAATCTTCTCATCAATTAAAGAAACAAACGAATATTTATGATGAAGCTATATGCTTGATACCTAGATGACAAGTGATCGTGAAGAATTCCGTGGTTGTTAAAATATTAACGCACTTCATAATTGATACGGTGCTGGTTTAGGAATTTTTCTTCCCTGGAGTCCCATTAAGTCATTCGAGACTTTGAGCTCAAATATGGATCAGAGAAAACTTGTTCCTTGTGCATTTGTTTGTTCCAGGGTAGGGGTAATTTCGATCATCAGTTTACTCTCAGTTAGGCGTCCGGACAAAAAAAAACTGGACCCTTGTCATCATATTTAGGAGTGGACCCAGTTGTATATCGCAATCTGATATTAAAGAACACAAAAACGAAGAACCGGTAGATCGTTTGAGGTACACCATCAAATCGCATAGAATCACATGGACAGGGTGAAAAAGGCAGAATTTCTAAGATATAGATACCATCTCTAATTTTCACGTGAATGATACACCTCAAAAACTCGCGACAAAGACTATACTTAACGTCATGTATGCATTACAGTGAACACTTCAGGGTTCAAGCTGGCCTCTTGAGAACTGTAAGACAATTTTTCGATTACTACAATATTTGAGGAGTTGAGACCAAGAAACACTTATAAAAACGACTTTGCCCTATATAATTAGAACTAAATACGATTTTCAAGAGCGTTTTTAAAAGTGCTTAGCACCAAAATTTCCAATAAAGCGAAAATGACGATTAATTTCTTAAATTACTAAGGTTGTCCTGGCAGATACAAAAATCAACGTTATATTGAGGACATCACCGTGTGGTTATGTACAAATTTCGCATGCTCCAATTGCATCGTTGTTCGAAATTGGAGCCTCGACGAAGAAAGCAACAAAAGCACAACTTTTTGAGCCCCATAAAGCTATAATTTCTTACTTGATACCCCAGCACAATCTCTATATTTCAGAGATTTGCTGGTTAAGCCATTGTGATTCCCTGGAACCCCGGGGTCAGCCTGGCCAAAGTCTATGCCAGGTCGTCACCACCACAGGCAGTCGCAGCCTTTGTGGATCAGAGGAGATTTGCCACCACGCGACCACAATTTCGCAGAGGTATAATGAGAAAACACATCTTACTGACAAGGATCCGTAGAATCTAGCATTTTTACTTCAATTAAAAAGTTCACTATACTACGCGTTGAATAATTTTAGTTTAGAGTTGAAGATAACCACTATTAAAGAAATTTTTGCTGCGTGTAACTGTTAAATTGCAGAATGAGAAAAAGAAAGTCTTTTAGATCTCTTCAATGCTTCTCAAATATGAAAATGACGACTGAAGCCAACAGCCTAACCGTGCTGCATGCTTTGTGTGAAAAAGAATGTGATTGGGGAGAAGAGACGTTGGCTAACTCGATGCACAATGTGGCAGCTGCTTCATAAACGGCTCCGGCAAAACACAAGTCCAAGAAGACAGGTGAGAAAAGGACTATCAGCAGCTTAGTTTTCAGACTCAGTTAAGCAGGAAGACATTACACAGCTCAATGCAATTTGTTTACATTTATATGTTCGGGTTCAACGCCTCGTTGTTGGGAGATATTCCTGGGTGAACTGTGATCTACAGTGCGGGATTAATCTATGCACGATCACACATACTAGAAAGAGATCCACACTTCCATGTTAGAAGTTCAGTTAAGAACAAAGTTTGGCCAGAAGCTATAAAAAAAAAGGTCTTCATATGAAAAGTGTGACACTCTTCAAGCAAAATGGGAACCACATGGGAGCTCTAACATGCGATAGGATGAACAGAGATTTTGCTGATAATTTCTACCTATTTACTCGATGATCAATGGATTCACAAGCATAAAAATCTAGCTGAAACAAAGTCAAGGATAAAGTTCGAAGATATCTTAGCGTTAAAGAAAAGCAAAAATTCCATTTGCCTTTTACCCTTCGTCATACCACAACGGAAAATTTTACACTTCATTTCACAACGGAGCATCAACACACATACATTTCCACATTTTTGTGCTACTTTAACTCCCCATAAGCAAATTGATACAAAATAAATTAACAAGAGCTTTCCTTACGTGATGAGACGCTTAATAGTCAACTTCTTCCCAAAGATATGTGAGAAAACACAATGTCTTGCTTAAGTACGCCGTATTGCTTTAGTGTTCAAGAAAACTAGTACTAAAGTAGTACATGAGGTCTTAGAAAGACAGAACACGCTCATCTGTAAATACTCAAATTAGGATCTATTACAACCTATAGAGATTGTCAAAGTTTTAGAGACCACTCTTCCACTTCTTCATTTGATTGGTTTGACCACTTTTTACGTTGAATAAATAGGACGGCAAGAAACAGTATGACTCAAATCACAGTAGAAGAGAAAAAAGAAATGAAAGAGGTCACGTCAAGAGGATGTTTTTCTGATTCCTCGAGTATTCAAAGGAGTTTGATTTATTTATTAAGTACAGCGGTTAAAACCGAGAAAGTTAATGGACGTAAAGCACCTCTAAACGATATCGACACGCTGAAAGAACAAGGACAGCTGACAGGAAGGCTGCTGTGGAAAATGTGGAGCTCATCATTCACAAGCATGCGTGTGTTAACGGAATCTGATTAGTAAACATGCCTACAGTTTGTCATCGGTCCCGTAACGATTAATACTGGCGGCTCAACTAAGCACAGTGGTAACGACATCATTAAACGGCGTAGTTTCTTTTATACATTCTTGGGGAAACGGATGAATCCCAACGCTTTGCCGCTTCATCGTGGCCGGGAAGAGTACCTGGGTAGGGTACCACGATGTACAGCGGGAGGATTCATTCCCCAGCAGGGTCTCCCGAGTTAAGGGGTCCGATGTTTCCATCAGGAAACCTAACTAAAAGTAAACCAGTACTAGGATCCACCACTGTCCTGGCATCAAATTAGTCGCATAGTGGTAAATCTCCCTCTGATGCACAAAGGCGGCAACTGCATGTGGTGGTGACGACTTGAGACAGATTTTGGTCCCGTTCACCTTGGGACTCTAGGGCACCACAATAACTAAACCAGCTCCGAAACAATGGAAACTATGCTAGGGCACGCGCAACTAATAAAGACGGGCGATCCAAGCATCCAAGTTTCTTTTATATCACACTGACAGTTCTCCATATCAGTCGATTTCATTTCATTCAGGATGAAATTGAGAGAAACAGAAAAGAAACGAGAGGATCGCGGAGCATCTCATCTCTCGCACTATGTGTCTGTATAAGAACTCAACGACTTAGCCATAGATCGAAAGTAAACATTTGTTTAAAATCATTGGAGCATTATATGATACTAGTAATTAGACTGTTTGCTATAACACAATTTATGTTTAAAAAAAATAGATTACCTCAAAAAAGATCTCATCCACTTTATCACCACCATAATAGACATCTAACGTATTAAATCCCGGTTTAGTTGGACGGAACCTGACTACGTCACGATATCTATAGGAGCCCAACTGTTTTGACTCTACATCTAAAACGACAAACGTGCTAGCTTATGTCAATCACAGGGAAAACACGGGACTTGGAACGACAGATAACGATATCGAAAAGGCTAACCGAATTTCACAGCAGTAGGAGACTTTGGTACAACAGCTAATCTAGCCGAGGATTCATCTCGAGTTCGATCGTAGGACACAACGCCTGTTTCACCGACAGTTACCTGTACACCACTGAGCTTTTCTGAAAGCATAAAACAGTGATTCAAAAATTCTAATTTTCGCATAGAGATTCCCTAGAGTGTTATAGTTAGGCGGAAGTCGCCCATTATGCTGATGTTTCTTTCGAGAATTCTGCTCTCGTGCTTCACTCACTAAATCACGAGTAAGGAAAAAAATAATCAAATAAAACAGAGGATTTAAGACAAATAGGGTGTTCATTGTCTCTCACATTAAGGATTTAACAAAATCCACAATTACAAGCGCGACAGCACTCGTGACGAGGAGAAACTTGTTAGAGCATAAAAACGGTTTTTGTTTCGAATTACATGCAAATACAATCTTTCATCGGATATCCAGGAAAATGTTCTGCATGATATGAAGTGTGTAACAGAGTCGGAACAATGCCATGGCAAGAACTAGAAAAACTTAACATGTGGTTGTAACGATCTTGTTTCCTGTTAAAACCGACAGAGCTGATATAAAACACTACAAAAACAGGACATAGTGGAACTATTGCCGTGATAGAAATCCGCAAGAAAAAATAAGATATCTGTGTGAGAGGATTCACTATTTTGATCATCAGATCTTCATCAAAGTCAGATGACGTTCTCGTGCTATATTTGGGAATTAGATGGAAAAATTGATAAATATGCTCAATATGTGTACGGTAATTTTGTAAGGAATTGGGAAGAAAAATCATCATTTTAATTACTATGGAAGAATTTCCCACGAACTCATCTTTTACTTAACTCATTCGCAACGCAGTTGGTTTTTTGAGTAACAACCGGTAGCTTCTTGATCGCTAGAGCATTCGCGAGTTCGGAAACTCATCGATTTATAAAGCAGACTTTGGTTCACCACATTAGCCACATTTACAATGTTTACACAGCCTCCTTTCATTCTTAAACATGTTCATGTCATAATTTTCGAAAAATTGAAAATGAAAACTGGACGGTTTGAAATTTTCAACACAACAGATTATCTACAAACACGAACGATATGATGAGAAACACTGCCGTGTCATACTCAGTGAAACCCACTTGTTCAATTACTTTCATGTGCAAAACAGTGGAAGAAATATATATCGTGGTTCCAGAAAATCAAAATTTAATCATGATGAAACAAAATAACTTTTGTCCCGTGGATAAACATGAGTAGAATCTAATACTTTTATCCCAAGTAATGAAATTGACTATGAGGTGAGACATGTTGATTTAGAACTGAAAGCGACCATTATTTACACATCCCATGACTCCTACTGAGGTCACGTCATCGCCTAAACGTTAGCCGCTCCAAGACCATATGAACTTATTTCCATATGTACGCTAGTGACACGGACGGTACATCTTGAGTGCAATGCAACAATCCTATCTACTTCAAATGACACTCGGTCAGGTGACCCTGTCACGCGAAGTTCGCCGCAGTCACGAAAAGGTAAAAATGTGTGGTTCAGAAGGAGAGCGGTAGAAGCAGAATCGGATTATAAGCATGAGTAATACTTTATACAACGGTAGGACATAGTTCACTAGCAGAATAAAATATTGTTCTTTTAAGAGAAATTGCAGAGGGGTGCTTTTCTTCATTGGTGGGTGGAAAAAGATCGTCCGCAGGGTAGCCCCAACATGTTGTGCCATAAGGAACGCTCGAATTTGCACCCTTTGCAAATTTACAAAAAAAAGGAACAAAAAAGCAGCAGTACTTCTTTATGAGGATGAGAGACGTCACGAATAGAAGAAATTTGAAGGATTAAACCACTTTTTGGAAAAGAACATTGTAATGGTCAACGATTGTTTAAGTGCAAATGTAAAATATTCGCTGACGTTATATGACCTATTAGAAATATGACCAATCTAACTTTTCGAAGAGTTCATAACAGCAGTCGAACATGAAAGAGCAACAGAAATTTAACCACAGCCATAAGGAGGAACCGGCGTAATCATCCACCGTAATAAAATTTATGTAGATTTATATAAACATTGCTTGGTTAGTGAAAAAAGAATGGAGGTTCATTTGAATAAGTAAACTATATCAAAATAATAACGGTTGGGCAGCTATATGTTTTTCTTTAATCCATAGCAATTTTCTACGGAAAATAAGACAAAGATTATACTAAAAGTCTGACTTTGAAAAAGAAATTCTTACAAGATTCAAACAAAAATTGAACAGAGATAAGAGTTTGAAGAAAGTTCGCTAACCCTTTAGCTTGATGTCCTCTTTGTGACCAGACTTCTTTGCGAGTACACTTATTGGTTCATCAACCTTTTTACCATTAATAAATACATCCGCTTTGTAGGTTCCAGCCATATCCGTTGGCCAACGAACCTCGTACTGTTTGGGAATGCCAGTTTCGCAAACAAAGCAGTCCCGAGGTTTTGTGTCAGGACCCTGAAGAGATAAAACATATTAAAGCATTAATTCGACTGCATAAATTCTTTTGGCTTCAGAAAGCCTCCTAATTTCAGCAACCTAAATAATTAAATTAATACCTTTCTTACTATAATCTAATCAGAAACTGAACGTGTCTGACTTCTAGTCGAGTTTTGCCTTTTTTTTAGTAGCCAAAAAGGAAAAAAAACCAAAAAACAACTGGGAATACCAGGGTCAACTGACGAAAATCAGGCCAGGCAAAAGATAATATCCTTAAGTTGCGAATTTTTCCCACTGTCCTTTTCATTCCATAATCTCTTACATAACTGCGCAATAAGGGTCGTCTTGAATAGCGCGACAGTTGGTGAGAAAAATGTTATGACTGAAACACTCATGAGAGCAGCTTTAAAGATTCAATACGACTTTCCAGTAGTAAAAAAAGAATTGATAAGAAGAAAAATCAGTGGAGGCAAGTAAACATACATATATGTAAGTAAATAACAAATTAAAACACTGCTTTTTAAGGAGATCTTCAGACAAAATTAGATGAAGAAGTTACTTCAAAATAAATATACGCACCAAAACTAGTACTTTCAAGTCGGTAACTTTCCCACATTTGGAGACATCAATACGAGCAGCAACTTCTCGAGAAGCGCAGACATCAAGAAATCGTGCTATGACAAATTTAAATATGAAAAGCACTCAATTTCGACCATAACATGAACACCATAACATGTAACTCACTTGATCCATCCAATGCGCTAACTGTCATCATGTTAACATCGGTCTCAGGAAGCAATTTGATCAGAAATGGACTGGAATCTTATAGAAAATTAGAACACCTGCTCTTAAGAAAAAGAACTGATAAAAGAAAATATTATCTTAGTAACCTGTTCGGAATGGCCTTTCCGTCATACGTGATATCCACTGGCACCAAACTTCCAGGATCACCAACTGGTGTAAAGCGAGCATGATATAGACGAGGTAGGGCCTTGTCTTTTTCCAACAGTGGTTGTTGATAAACTAAGTGCAAGGATCTTGTGAAAAGCTTCAAAAACATAAACTGTTAAGCAGCGTGTGGAAATTTGAGGAACAAAAAAAATTCAATTTTTATGCAAACTCTACATCATGCGCTTAAGAGGAAACCAAATAAGTGAACGAACTCACTTGGCGGTACAGTAACAGTGATTGGAGCTTCACGAGCACGTGATGCGTCGATGTCAAATAGAACAGGACATCCTATATGGGTCTCAGATTGAAGACCTGTTACGACGACGTGAGTAGGATCATACGGATAGTCGGCAATAACTCGGAACGGTGATCCTGGAAATGAGGACTAAGTACGTGTATAAGTGTATAGACAATAAAGTAAAAACTACAGTTTTATTCCAGACTGCCGATTTGACACAACATATATTAAAGAGAGCTATGGGTGTAATGTTCATAAACACTTCAAAAATAAAACAATATCGTTCCTAGAGGCTGTTCTCATAAAATTTTCACAAGTAATCATGTTTTGAAGTTTTGGTAAGTGTTAAAATATAACATATAACATTCTGTTTTAAACAAAATGATAAAAATTTCGGTGTTGATCAATCACTAGGAGATGGGTCATGCATTCAACTTCATCAAATATCGCTATAGGTGAATGAATGCATATCTGGCCTTTACCATGACTTTCGGTAATATTCGGTTATACCAAATCAGTGCTGCTTTCCCCCAAACAAGTCTAGCACCAATTTGTTGATTGCCGAGAGATAGAAGACTTGGTGTGATCCTGGAACGGGATCGTACCAAATAACACGTTTGTATTACAGAGCATCTCTAAGCACTGCGCCATATTCGCCGCTTGTACAATATTCTATTCCATATCCAACATTAGATACAAGATATAGAAAAAGAAGATCTTTGAAGTCATCTTGCATAATTCTAACAAACTAAAAAAATTATCACCACAAGATGTTGATATAACAGCAAAACCTAGGGCCTCAAACTATTTCACATAATATTCTCCCATGAAAAAAAATATGTGGTAAATGGAAAGCTAAGCAGAACAGAATCTTGGTGAATCTATGTCGAAAAATTGAACAGATAATCATTAGATATTAAAAGCAGCGATTATGTAAAACTCTCTATGTAGTCACCATTACATAAAACTACTAACCAGGAATTTGCCTCTTGTCCTGGTTTTTTCCATAGGAAATAGCAATCACGTACTCTCCCGGCACCGGTGGAACATAATCGACTGAGCATGTACCATCGGCGTTGTCGCTGCATTTGTTCTTAGCTTCAGCTGGACCCAATATTTGTATAAACAGCTCGCCGTCTCCAGCATTCTATGAAGGTATTTTGAAGGATGAATAAGAAACGATTGCAACTTCAATGATGCTGAGATATTTGGAAAATTCCGGACCGCAGGTGTATGTGGTGGGGAATGAACGCGCTATTGTCCTTCCCGGTGAGTGACGCGCTCACCACCACACCATGCGGGTCCTTCGTTTCGCCTGTCTCTCAGCTAGTTCTATCTATCTTTGCCACAGCAATCACCCGTCAGCGGAATTGATCTGGGGGACCCGAACCGGTAGCGAACCCAGTTAAGCTGAGACTGTAGTTATAATCACAATTTTTAACTTATCATTTACTGCCTACTCTTTTTTAAGGCAGGGTATGTATTTCGCAACTTATCCTGCCATTAAAAAGAGCAGGCAGTAAACAATAAGTTAAAATTCAGATTAAAGCATTGTAGTTCGTCCGTTTTATCCTTAAATACCAAGCTGTCATAAAACCAAATTATTTTTGATTTCGTTTCCCTCCAATGGCTTAGACTAACATGAGTGCTTTTTCAGCTTTAAAATTTTCTACGACAAGTAAAGTGTGCTCGACGAAACTTAAAAATCTAGGAAATCTTTCGCCACAAATAAATAATACGACAAAACCATAAGATGTCACAAGAACTACTTCATGTTTCATACCTGGGCGTTAATAGCAAATTTAGTAGACTGTCCAACAATGGCGGTTTTTAGACCGTCGCCACTTACACAGCACTTGGACGCATCATAACCATCTAACACATTAACGGTTGCCTCTTTCACGAGAACGTCATCGAAGAACACCTTGAACAATGGCATACGTAGAATGTTAGGTTTCACAAGTAAAACAAAAAATATTATGCAAGTTCAGTTCTAATCACTTCCTAGCACGCCGATTTACGCTTGCTCCATGACACCTTCAAAAGAAAGTGTTTTAATGAAAACCTCACGCGTGTTTAGAAATGAACTAGCAGACATGGTGTACTTAACAGATAGGTAGTCATGACATGTGGATCTATCACATTTGCCTCATACAAACATTTTGAACCCTCTTTTCAACTTCACCATAGAAGGCCTCAAATCCATTCAATTTTTCTCAGAAATAATAAGTTAACTGAAGTCCACACCTACCTTCAGAGTGGCCTTTCCTAGTTCGTGAGCCACGAATACGCCGCTGTATATTGTTGGTTCAGATAGCTTTAACGGCACTTCCAAATTCCTACCGTTTAAGTTGGTAATCATTTTCACACCACGAGCATGAGGAAGCAGGCCACCCGTATCGATTGTAGTACTGAAACGGTGACCACGGAGAACATCGCCTAAACAACACTGGTCAACGTGGGAAAGCATTTCGTAGTTATCCGTTTTTTGGCCTACAGCCTACTGTGCACTTCAAGGTTCTTAGTGAAAATAACTTCAAAAAACGGTCCTCCTACTATTAGTGTAAAAACCGCAACTAAAAACGATGAAAGAGTGAAGGTAATAACTCTTATATTTCAGATAGGAACTGTACGGATGCCTGCCGTACGCACTACTAGAAACACGACCCATCGCCTAAAGGTGAGACCCGCGGAGGCCTTAGTGTAGAATTCTGGCTACAGCCACAAAGATGCTGAGATATTTGCAAGACTCCGGACCTCAGATGTCTGCAGTGGGGATCGAATACGCTATTATCCTTCTCGGGTGCTAATGCGTTCACCACCACACCGTGCGAGTCCTTCGTTCTGCCTGCCTGCCTTTCAGTTTTCTATCAATCAGTTTCATCAGCAAAGACCCGTCAACAGCACAGATCTGGGGAGCCCAAATCTGCAGCGAACTAGTTAAGCTCAATTTGTACCCGAAATTACAATGTTAACTTTTTGTTTACTGCCTACTACAATTTTTACGGCAGAATGTTATTTGTGATACAACCACAGTGATTCTAAGATATATACAAAACTCCGGACCGCAGGTGTCTTAAATGTGGATCGAACCAGCCAGCTCCCGGAAAAGGTAATAGCGCCCTCCATCCCCACTGTAGGCACCTCCGGTCCGGAGTTTTGCAAATATCTCAGAATCACTATGGTTGTGTCACAAATAACACCCTGCCATAAAAAACTGTAGTAGGCGGTAAATATAAAGTTAACATTCTGACCAACATTCTTGCCTTCTCCCCAAAAGGCTCCTTTTCACCGATTGTCGTTAACCTTGATATAGGTCTTTGTGGAACTCCCAGTTCCGTCCTATAGGCTGCGCATTCAATAGTCCTGAACGATTCTTCATGATGCTTATGTAGCATGCACGTTTTCGATGCATGCATTAAGGAAGAATCTCAGCCCAAGAACTGGTCATCGATTTGGTCACTACACCACATCACCCTCTTGTAAGTCCTCACAGCCGCTCTTTTTCTGTTTTCTTGAGGCCTAAACGTAGCTATTACTTGTAGAAGCACTGTCTACTCTAGAAATCGAAATATACTAGCATTCGTCCCGTCTAGATAATGCCTAACGATATGACTTTCGACATTCAATCGCGTGTACTTCATACTAGTTTTCTCATGATACACATCTTCGAAAACGATTGTAAATAGTTTTTGTACGATGACATCGCCATGTTCAACCTCTCTCTTCACGTCAACGGTAAGGCTGTTGCAGGATGGGAATTCTTGTAACGGAGTTGTTACGCAGTTTATAAAGCACCCTTGTATATTGGGTATGAGGGTCTGACTCTCTGTAGCCCCATGGCATAAAACACTGCTTATAACTCAAATGAGTCGAAGGCTATCTCAATTAGATAAAAATGAGAAAACGTCTTTTCCGTCGCGATACTTCGGTGGGTTGTTAATATGGATGACTCGAACGAGAAGCGTGTAGATGTAGGAAGTCAGGAGACCAGGTGATAGCTGCCAATGTGAAAGTCCACTTTCTTGTGAAACAATACTATTCTGTTGGCTTCCCTTTACGCTAGAACTCCGTATTCCGTGAACTAACGCGTGAAAAGCCGAACCAGCGTGTTCCTCATAAAAACTGAAGATTGAAGAAGCTCCTTCACATGTTCGAGTCTAATCCTATCTGAACAAGGTGCTACACTGCTATTCACTGATTACCTAGCATTTGAAACTGTGGAAGAGAGGACTGCTGAAAAGAGATATCCCTTCTACCATCCAATGATATGCAGCTAATTGGACACGGGTATTGAAATGATTGAACTGAGTCGGGGTAAAATTGGTGAATAACATTCTCCATTGCTTTTCCGGATGCACCGACTTTTGGCCTAGCCACTGAAAAGTGGTCACTTCAAACTTTTAACTCGCAAAATTTCTCGATAGGGATGGCTGATGACCTTGCCAATTCCTGTGGCTTCAACTAGTGTTGCTACTCTCTGCTTCTCAAGACCTTTACTCATCTCTTTTCTGAAAGTCCAAACATATGTTAGTGTTCAGTTGCTCCTAACTTTTTTAGCAGTGTTTGATAAGCCTGCCGGATTAAAATCTAAAAAGGTGTTACAACAAGTGTATCCCCCAAAAAAAATGGCTAAAGAAGTGAGCAAATCTCTATGTACGATCGTTCTGAGATACCTTTCCTAAAATTGTGCTTTTCTCTCATTCCTTAAAGAAATGAATCTTATGTAAAAGGAGACCGTGGTGCGATCCCATGATAGTTTTCTAACACCACGCATCCAATAGGCAAACCCTTCCACGTTGTGCTCTATCGCCATACAGTGTTCTCGGCTAGGATTGTGAAACTCTTGCCTGAATTTGAGAGGAAGGTCTGTGCCAATGTGAGTTAGTTACCAAGAATGGTCTTGGTCATAATAATTAATTCAGATAGCCACTAATCCTGCTCATTCCAGTTATCGGGTCCCGAAATGAAGCCTTTCAGACGTTCTTCTGATTCTATTGGTGCTGAAGTCGCCAATGATTACCTAAGAGCGACTTCAGTAGAAGCTCTTCAAGTCCATAGAAAATGTTTCCAGTTTGGCTTTGTCCTAGGTTGATGTTGGGGCATAAATGAGAAGCCTATCAAAGATTATATTGGCACTCATTTTTTCAACCGTAAACGTCCGACTTGGTTCATTAGTTGTTTAGGGTGATCGATATTTATGGCAACTCATGCTGATTAAGTAAATCAACTCGGCAGACTTCCGTTATAGCATAATCCGAAAATCAGTTCTTCTTCAGTATCACACACGTTGTTTAATAGTGCAGTATTCTCGGCTATCCGACGACGCTTCTTAATCTGTATTATCAGGTCCTCTGTTCCCCCAATCTATGCGGATATAGACAGTCTTAAACAACCATAGAATTTTAGAAGTTCGGGAGCACTTATCCTATCCAATGATACCATATCGAAGTCTTTTCGAGATACTAGAAATGAAATTTACTGCTTTTCACTTTTACTGCCCATTGATAAGCATACAAACTTTAACGAGTTCATGTATTCTTTCTTTGATGGGCTTACAGGAGGTTGATAACGATATTTCTTTTCGGCTAACGTTTCAACGTCTTCGCCTTCATCAGAGCCGATGATCCTAGCCGGTGATCCATGCTTGTTCTTTGTCTCGATGTGGCGGCTTAACAACCTCGTGTAAGTTCAATAAAGAAAGAATACATGTTGATTTGTAATACTGAGGTTAAAGGAAAGTCGGCTTTAAAATACTGTTTTTACTGAGTTCTTTCATGATGACTTGATAAAAGGCACAAACAATAGTACCTAGTCGAAGTTTTACAGAGTAGATGAATAACTTATTAAAATAGGCTAAAAACAGAATATGTCCACTCTATGAACTTGACAGCATGACAGGCTGAATTAACATGCAGGATATAAAACGCGTCTACGCAAGAACACCTAAGTGCGCATTGTGACACTCCACATTGACTAAACAGTTGGAGATCTCCTTGTGTGAAAGTTTCGTGAACACGCTCTGGATTTCTGTGAAACTACCAGATGGTATAATCGCATTGTCTTCCACTTGCTTATTCACACTGCTAGTTGTGAATACACAGAAGCTACAATGTGATTTCACTCAAACTAAGACTAATTTAACTTCAGGATATGATTACCACAGGACTAATGTCGCTGTCATTACATCGCCAACACCACTATGGTACCTGGAAAAGTTGGGAACCCAAAAGTGAGCAGACGATATCTTGTTCCAAATTAAAAAGTGTATTCATTACGTGAAATTTTAGTGAATTATACATATGAAGAAACCTTTATGCGAGACAACAAAATAACTCTATGTAAAATAATGCTGTAACCATCTTCATTTCAAAGCCATGATATACGAGATCGCAAAAAGGATGTGAAGGACATTCACTGGACACATGGAGTGGTCTGCGATGTAGGTGAGCCACTTGACATTGAAGAAAAAGAGAAATCAGTTTTATCGTGATCCGCCATTAGCGATGATGTTACTATGGTTGGAACAGCTAGTACTTGGAAAGGACTGCCGGAAATATGACTATTATCGAACATTACTCTCAGGAAGTACACACCCGGTGTCTGGGGTACGTAGTACACTGTTAGGGTTCCATCACGATTATCCACACAATGAACTGGAGTTCTTGTTGGTCCGTCGACAAACAAATCAATGTCACCAAATCCGGCGAATGTGGTGTCGATGGAAACGTACGTGGATTGTTGGACTACAACGGGACCTAACCCTGGTCCAGTCACAGTAACGAGATCAGCCCTAGGAGGATCAGACCTAGAGACTACATACTCGGCCTCTGCTTTGTTTCCCTCTGGCACCGAGTGTAATAGGTATGGAGCACCAACAGGCAGGTCTCGATACGTAACCGAGATACTGTAATCGCCAATTTCCGAAGGTGTGAACCAGACACGAAGACCCGTGTCAGTAGACTCGATAACAGTTTCCACAATGCTGCCAGAAGGACTAGTAATGACAATCCTAGTGTTATCACCATCGGGAGTGAAGACATGCATCTCCTGCTCACAGTTGACGGTAACGATTGCTGAAAACGAAACCATTGGAAACTGCACAACAATATGGAATAACCCGATGAGGACATCTATTGATCCAACCAAGCTGTTAATCAAGTGATACGTTCGAAAAAGTTACATGAGAAAGCAAACGGTTATGATACATGATTAACGGCAACTGCAATGAACGACAGAAACTGAACCTTCAGTAGAATTAGCAAAAAGAAACATGTGAAAAAAAACCCGAACAAAAAATTATACTGCAAAGGTTGTACACAAGCCTACTTCACATCTATTTCCTAAACAAATACAATGCTGTAAAAGTTTCGCATATAAAAGAAAGGTTTGAGTAGGCACGCACTACAACTCTCTTACTTATTTAGACTCACTAGAAACATAAGTATGCAAGCCAGTGCTTTGAGTTTAACGACTCTGTATAGCATTATTGGAACCAGATATAGTGGAACACAACTCCAACAAAGTAGTTTTTAAATCACAATTAGAGAAATGCATGCGCTACTGAACAAACGAAAGGTAGACTCAGCGAAGAACACTTGCACGTTCTTTGGATCTACATCACTACCATTTAGATGAACTATCTATCAACATATCTATATCTTTAGATATCTATCAACAAGTTCCCCACCAATATAGTAAAAGCATCAGCCTTTTATTATGGAAATTAACGCTGAAAGATTCTTCACAGAGAGTTGCAGACCAGATCATGTTTAAATCCATTTCCATTATTTCTCTCGACCTTATCCAATAACTGTGTGTGTTAGCATGACTACGGTCGAAAGTAAACGCTCTTACAACATTACACAACCAGAGCAGTTTCGAGCACCACTCCACTCAACTAGTAAATCAGATAGGTAGCCATAGAGTTCCTGATGGCCTCCAAGAAATTTGTAATTAAGACTACAATTTCAAGGCTTTGCTTCATTTTCCTTAGTTCTCGGAGATCATCACCGTTTGAGGAACAAAAGTTGACACAAACAAGAATTAATGAACACTGGTTTGCTAGAAACAATGAAACCGAGGCATGCACAAACCACTCTTAATAAAAAACGGAAAAAAACATACCATTTTCAAGGCCTGTAACTCGTATTCCTGACGTATCCAACTGCGGTTCAACGTTAATTTCAAACGGTGGAGTTTGGAAACCAGCGAACACCACATTTAACTGAAACTAAGCACCGATTAAAAACCAGTATTCGATAGACGTTTGCAACACCAGTGACCATTGAAACAGTTAACGAGGTTTAAAGAGAGCATCTTTTAATACAGAACACATTTAGTAACCATGTTGATAAATTAATTGAACGAACCAAATATTTCCTTTGCTACCTTAATTAGTCATTCATTCTGTCCTTTTTAAAACTCCAAACCGCATCATTTTTTAAATACAGGGATAAAAAACCTATACAAAAGTGCCTTGCTTTGAAAATAATAATTTAGTCTTTAAGCTGTAATCACACATATCTCAACCAAATTTCTGAGGTAAAAACGTTGCAAATGAGACACAGATTCCCTTACTTACATTTATTCCATGTAGTATGTAGCACCGTTGTTAGAGGTGCTTTGCAATACACATGGGTTTGATCCCACGTCCCAGGCACACCAAGCCCTCCGTCCTTCCGAGCTTGGTAAACTGATACCAGACTTGACCGGGAGGATAGCAGCAGTGGCTTGATATATCCGTAGGCCATCACAAGTTAGTTAGTATACAGGCCAGATATGCATTCAGTCACCTCCAACGATGATTGATGAAGTCGAATGCATGGCGCATTCCTCAAGGATGGATTAACGTTGAGAGTTTTATCCCAGCTTTTACACTTATTCCATTACGATAAAACACTGGCTTATACGGCTTGCAGAATGTTTTTTTCCCATTTATTGTTCAGGTTTGCATCTCGAAAAGGAAAAACATTAAATAATGTTACTTATAACAGTAAATAATGTCAATTTCAATGCTAACTTTTTATATGGTGCCAACTAAAACTTTTCACGGCATGGTACTACGTGAAATACAACCAAAATGATGCTGAGATATCTGGAAGGCTCCGGACAGCAGGTGTATGCGGTGGGGAACGAATGCGCTCTTACCCTTTACGGTGGCTAACGGGTTCACTACTACTCCATGAGGGTCTTTCTTTACCCCTGTCTCAGCTAGTTTTCTATCTAAGATTGCCATAATAAATCACCAACCAGCAGAATTGAACTGGGGAGCACAACTCGGCATTGAGCCCAGTTAAGTTGAGGCTGTAGTTCGAAACACAACGTTAACTTTTTATTTGCTGCCTACTACAGTTTTTCACTGTGAACACTGATGATGCTAGTAGATAGAAAACTAACTGAGAGACAGGCGAAACGAAGGACTCGAATGGTGTGGTGATGAACGCGTCAGCCCCCACAAAGTGTAACGATCGATCCGCACCGTAGACACCTACCGTCCGGCGTTTTGCAAATATCTCAGCATCATTAAAGTTATATTTTTCAATATACTCTGCCATTAAAAAAGAGTAGGCAGTAAATAATAAGTTGGAATTGTGATTATAACCACAGTCTCAGCTTAACTGGGTTCGTTGCCGATTTGTGCCCCCAGATCAATCCCGTTGACGGGTGATTGCTGATGGCAAAAGATCAATAGAACTAGCTGAGAGATAGGCGGAAACGAAAGACCCGCATGGTGTGGTGGTGAACGCCTTACTCTCCGGAAAAGACAATAGCGCGTTCGTTCCCCACCGCATACACCTACGGTCCGAAGTTTTGCAAAATATCTCAGCATCATTGAAGTTATATTTCGCAATATAACCTGCCATTAAAAAGAATAGACAGTAAATGATAAGTTGAAACAGTTACATATATTCCTTATAGATCAAAAACGTTCTCTCAATCGAGTCGAGAAAAGGATAGCGCAGCCGAAGATAGAGCATCTTAAGGCCGTTTTCTTCTGTTTACTGCTTATGGAACATTACACTGTTAATAAGAGAAAACATTCTTAACGCTTTGCTCAGAAAGTATTAAGAGTAGGTAGATAAGAGTCGAAGAAGTACACATAATTCATTGTTGCAGGCTTTGGTTGGTTAAAAAATATACTACTTGATAACAGCTCGCAGAACGTAATGGAGATAGCTCTCGGCAGCAGCTGTGGAGCAGTCTGTGCAGCTAAGCTTTCAAACTGTTTTCCTTCTCATCATACTTCTTGACTGTACATATATAGGTATGCAGAAACATCCCGAAGATCTTTATATAAAGGATAAAAGGATAAGGCTCAAGACGTTGATTAATCCCTGGGAGACGCGCCATGCACTCGACATCACTAAGCATCGTTGGAGGTGATTGAATGCATATCTGGTCTTTATAATGACTCGCGGTGACTTACTGATGTATAGAGCCAGTGCCAGTATCCTTCCGGACAAATCTGGTACCAATATGCTGATCCCGGAGGGATGGAAGGCTTTGTGAGCAACAGGCGCGGTGATTGATCCCAAGTATGTGTTGCACGGCTCCTCCGACCACTGCACCACGCGCGCCCATAATCTTGATATAATGGGGGAAATTTTTTCAGGAATTAAAGAAAAGCATGTTTGATTAACAAAGCGGTAAGTAGCGAACTGAGATGGTGACCGATAATATGAAACAATGACAAATAATTAACAGTCAGCCATGAGAACAATGAATACATCTAGCTATAAACGAGAAAATTAACCTGATATGCTCCCGGCCTAGGTGCTGTGTACTTCACTGTGAATGAACCATCCTTGTTATCCAATACATCTATCACAACAGATTTCCCACTCTCGTCCGTAAGAGCAACCTAAACTAATAATCCAAGATATTATAAAAACCTAGTACTATTGAGAAATAATAGAAATTTAATTGTGATGTAATATAGTAATAAAATAATTTATCACAAAGACTTCCTTTTTAACATTTTTAAACATACGTGACCACATAATACACATTAACCTTTTAACTTTTCTTCTTAGCTTAATTTAAAGCTTAACTAAGCGTAACACTGTTGTAGTACAGCACGATGACCTCTACCCGTTATCACGTTCCTGCTATAATAGTGAAAAAGGCTCTTTTTTATCAGCAATCTATAATTATTCGATAATTAGGAGGATTGCCAGTGAACCAAGTGCTACATGTCCTTGATATGACGAGATTTCTTGTTATACCTGATAAAAGCGACTCTTTAAGGCCAAAATTAGACTAAAAGATTGTAAATAATTCTGTTTCTAAATCTATACTCCTATGACAATTCTTACATTTGGTAGAACACTTCAGTTTTAAAAATCAGCAATGTCAAAAACCCTTGAAATAATGCAAATAAACACGTACTTCAACTGCGCCTGTACCGGCCTGCTTCGCATCTATAGTGAATTGAGTTTGCTTCTGGCATTTAACAGGTCCACTGATCCCAGGTCCAAAAATGTGCAGTTTAGAAATGTCGACTTGATCCCGAATATTTACCTGAAACATTCAGCAGAATTGTAAATAACTGCGCAATGGATTTTAATCCATTCCGATGAATTTTTTCTACTCCACAGAACAACAACTCTACTCGTCCACTTACCGTTATTAACCATCTGCTATAGGGCCACCCCATCAATACTTTACACAAGTATCATGCTTAGAAACCGGGTTAAATATCTAGCCATCTCATAGCCAAGATTTCTTTCACACGTCATTAGTCCCGCATGAATGCAAAAGCGTATCTAAACCATGAGAACTATTCCAATTTTGAACAGCCCATGTTTGAATATGGGAAGCAATAGAAAGAGGTGCAGCAGTGAAAAATTTTTGGTCCTCTACAAATTTTGTAGAATAGGCAGTCATACATAGCTAAAATCGTTTCCAACACTTCGTCTGTTAGTAGATACCACAATCTTACAATGTTTAGATTCTTCATTGAAAGACAGGGAATAAAGAATAAATTACGGATAGAAGATTCAGACACATACTAAGCAAACCTAGGCACAAAAACAAATGGCATGTTATGTTGGAATGAAACGGTGCCCACTTTTAAATTAGTTCTTTTTTTTTCAAGATACGAAAACTAACCGGGTAAGGAGATCCAGGAATGGCAACCCCTTTCAATTTGGCGTTAACGTAGTATTTTCCACTGCTTCTCGGAATGAAACTGTAGTCATAGATACCGTATTTGGAATGAGAAACAGTGGTTGCTACTGACGCAAGATCTTTGTCGAGAATTTCCACCAGCGGATCTTCGACAACTGCAATACATTCCGATAAACGGTGGAATGATGCCAAATTAAAGGCGCTATTTTTAAAAAAAAACTAACCTCCAGTGTCTCCTGTGTCTACCGTAAATTGTATGGGTTTGCCAGGAATAAAATCAATATCTGGTCTGAGCCCAGTCAGTCTTGCTGCCGACGGATGAAATTGTGGATTAGCTGGCTCGATATTAACAACGAAAGGTGAGGCGTATATGTGTTCGCCTCCTGACAACACATTCACTTTGTACACTCCAGCTTCTTTAGGCTGAAAAACAAGCTCTTTTTAACAGAAAATTTTCTATCGATTTGACTCCGGGCTAAGATATAAATACGAAGGAAAAAATATTTTCTGGTTAACCGATTTCCAAGAAACATGGAAATAAAGCAACTGTTCTGGAACAGGAAGTTTTCGCGGCGACTAAAAATGTTGCAATTTACTAAAACACTGCACGTGCGTAATGACCACCATCAACGGTGGAAAACTAATAGTGAAATAATAAGATTGAACCCCTCTGTGCCCGCATAAAAGAACACCTAGCCGGCAAACAGACCAAATACTCCGCTAGGCACGCATAGAACCCAGAGACATAACGGCGAGGACTTTGAAGTATGTGTCACGATCCTTGCACGCGAATCAAGAACACAGGCGCGAAAAACGCTCGAGGCACTCTGGATTAATTCCAGAAATCCGAAAATGAACCGCAGGGAAGAATGCCTAATTATTACGCGTGATGTAGGGCAGTATATAAGACTGCTATTCTGATGAGTGGGGCACATTATACTTCCATGTGATTTCTGTGCGGTTGGTCTCTACGTGACATACTTAGTGGAGACCTCATAGAAAGCGGTGAGTGTGCAAAGCTGTGTTCAAAGTGATTGAAATCTTGGTTTGGAGTTTCTCTGTTTGGTTATGGAGGCGTCTGGCCAAGTAGATTGCTGTCAACTTGACCTTTCCAGGCTCTGAGGAAGGCGAAATCCGCCGAAACGTCAGCTCATTCGTGAATAAAGAATAATAACACCTCGCGTTTGCTCAACAAAAATACGAAGAATTACAATAAGATTGATTCTGAATAGTACCGCAACTATGAAACAACGTGACTATTTCCGCCTTTCTTCACGNGTCTACATACCTACAGTAGAGTAGCGGCCCGAGATCAGTCACCGGTGCTTCCACCTTAGACATAAATGCAATGGCAAGGCTTGGAGCCAGTCGTTGTCCCATTGCCAACCCTCTTATTTGAGCGTAGTACTTTCCAGACCAACTGAAGATTGAGCAGCTCAAGCATTTTTTAAGAGTGCCATCAGGTGCTCTATCCCGAAGCCATACATGTTTATTTCTCCTTCGTGTTGTGTAAGGAGTTCGAATATGGCTTGCATTGCGGAGTCATTCGACACGTTTGTATAAAGGGTGGTGACGTCGAAGGACTCCATCACCCACGCGCTGTTGTGCTGCGCAGTACGTAGACGATCCAGAAACATCTGGGTATTAGTAAGATGGGCTGGAATGTGTTTCAACAACTGGTTAAATATTAGGGTTAAAAACCATGTTATCCGGTCCGTTGGCCCGTCTACGCAGCTAATGATAGGTCTAACCTTAAATAGTGATGGATCGTTAGACGCAAGATCATCACTGGATACTAACTTATGGGTTTTTGTAAGTAAGTACAAGACGGGGCATGTTGGTAAGCCAACTTTAAGTTGAGACTAATGGTTTTAAACCAGCAGCCCTTGCCATTTTGGCCCATTCGTGGTTTAGTTTTCGGTATTTACTTTTGAATTCCTCCTCAGATGATGGGCGATAAAGCAAAGCATCTTCAAGATGCTTTTTCGTTATCTCCACATCCAACTGATGAGGAATTACGGCAAACTCTCCACCCTTATCACTAACGGAAAGTCTTATGGTTTTCAACCTTATCAGGTCTCGTACCTCTCGCATACCACGTTTTTGCACTGGAGTGAGGTTTGAGCTGTATCTTTTCGCGCGATGGTGATTAAGGACTTTGAGAGTTTCATTCGCAAACATCCGAAATTTAACATCAACTTGGGCTCTTGCTGTCTAAAGAACGTTGGGGGAAATGGTGCTATTGGTAGGGCCCCCACTTGATGTTGTTCGCACCTATTTAGCGCTTCATCTCTAGCTTTTTTGCGGAGTTTATCTTGAAGTCATGTAAACCACATGCGACCCTACGCAAGGTTATCTTAGAAATGGGTTCAGATGGAGAAACTCGGCCCCAATTCTAATAACGAGCGCGCACCGTCAGGGAGAGTTATGCCTCCTAACACGATTAGCCTTGAATTTTCTTGCACATTACCTATCCTAATGTGATCTATTTGATGTTCTTTAGCGATATTTTTGTGCGCTATTGAAGCTGATGATTTACTGATTTTTATTTTATGATTTTTATTTTTTATTGATTAATTGATTGATTTTTTATTGATTTGATTTTTTGCTGATTTTTTTTTTATGTGATTTACTCAAAAGGTCTTCGAATTTTCTTCGCAAAGCTACTTCAGCATTAGACCTAATAGAGTTGCAAATCAACACTGACCCGCCCACTATTCTCCTCCAGAGGCGGTCCTCCAAATATTGAGCACAAAAGTTTTCCTTCGTCTCGCACTTCTTCCACTTGGCGAACATCTGGTTTTTAGGGACATCGTGATATAGGGCAGTATATAAAACTGCTTTTCTGATGTGAGGGGCACATTATACTTCCATGTGATTTCTGTGCCGTTGGTCTCTACGTGACATACTTAGTGGAAACTTCATAGGAAGCTGTGAGTGTGCAAAGCTGTGTTCAAAGTGATTGAAATCTTGGTTTGGAGTTTCTCTGTTTGGTTATGGAGGCGTCTGGCCAAGTAGATTGCTGTCAACTTGACCTTTCCAGGCTCTGAGGAAGGCGAAATCCGCCGAAACGTCAGCTCATTCGTGAATAAAGAATAATAACACCTCGCGTTTGCTCAACAAAAATACGAAGAAAAAAAAATTTCACAGCCAAGATATCACCATTCTACAACGATATTAACAATGACGTCAAAAAAAGAGTTAGGCAAGGCGATACCATCTCCCCAAAATAATTTACCGCCACCCTCAAGAACGTCATGCGAACATTGGAATGGGATAATATGGGAGCTCGAGTCACTCGGCGATCACCGGGACTACAGGTTACAGGTGACAATAGCATAAAGGAAAATGCAATTTTAAACAATGATCAAAAGTGTTTTTTGTAAAAATGACACAAACATACCTTAGTATACATTTGAGAGTTTTGCATCGTAGCAGGATCTTCAATAGTGCTTGATTATGTGCGTGCTTGAAGAACAAATTTTCGGTAAGCCATCGAGGCGGATCATGTTCTGCGTCCATCTAAAAGAGGTTCTCGTGATTAGTAGAAAGAGTATTCAAATATACTACGCACCAGGTATTTCGTTGCAAGACAGTTTGCGAGGTATACAACAACGGTTTCGTTACTTCAACACTTTCACCTAATCTGAAAATGAGCTTGAAATAGTCAAGCGGAAGGACCAAAAAAGCCAAGACTTCTTCCGTAGTACAGCTTAGCGAACCAATGGTGGTTACCTCCTGAATGAAATTGGGGAAAAACGCATCGCAGTAAAAGAGTTTACGTTCCGTTCCCACGAACCGTGAGAAGTTCGCTCTCTAAAATCCAAGTGGGAACACTCTAGCCTAGCTATCTCAGGACTCTACAGGAAATCATCTAGACCAGCATACAGCGAAATTCGTGGCGAAAGGAAGATCATCAAGTAGCACCCGAACTTACAGCGAAAAGTTGAAAAACCTTCGTGGATGATGCAGATAGAGATACGAATCGAATACAAAGCGGGATTCGCTGGACAAACTTTTCCTTACTCATTCTAGCCTCTATATGGGCTCAACCGACCAAGGAACGTTGGTAAACAGTTGAACATCGGCGAGGAACTGAAGAGATCAACCGCAGTTCGCGTCATTTCGAGTGTTACAGAATGTTGTTGTATTTTATGTGTTGAAAAAAAAATTAGCGAAACTGTTTAAATGGGCTGTTCTGGATCATAGCGCACGAATCTGAGTTCATGGCCAGGTAATTCGTGAGTAGGTAGATCGGCCGACTATGCCGCCTTTCAAAATTGGTTTTACGTACGTATAGCTTTCCGAATCTGTTCACAATAGGCGCTTAGATCATTTGTTGGAAAAGACCTCAACTGTCCCTCACACCCCAATTTATCTGATTACCTGTTTTTCTCAGAACTAATGTGAAGGATACAATTCACATGCACGCGGGCACACCTACGCAGGAATATACCGTTATATCTACATTATATACACACATATTTTTAGAGCCAGTAGTAGATTACGATGTGAAAATATAAAAAGCCGTACTATAAACAGGAACAAGAGAAGAAAGAGGAGAATGTTGCACATAGGTAATGAAAACGCAACATTAGGAATGAGGCAAAGACCAATAATACAAATAACAACACTACGACAAGAAAGTAATAATATTGTTACTATTATTGTCATTATTCGTCATTATTACCAAGTCCTTTTTATGAGTAAATGTAACACCAGCGGACGATTTCTCGACCTGGACCAAACATAGCCTCCAGAATCATCACTGATCAAATGATTAATTTTTTTATTAAAGTCGTTTCTAAAGCATAAAGTGCTTATTTTTAATAAGTTACTATCGGAAAAGCAAAAAATGTTCGTAATCGCTTTTTCATTACATTTCCAACGGCCACAGTAGAATGAAATTCTCCATGAAATAGTGAAATTAGAATCCAAAGATTCGCAATAATACGGTTAATTAGGGTATTTTATTGAAGCTATTCCTCTGTTTAATAACAGAGTAAACCAATGGAACACACTACACAGTAAAAAATTTAACTAAATAAATATTATTGTTTGCAGCATTATAGCACTAAGTAATGGCTTGTCTGCACAAAAAATCCTGCAAGTCACAGCGCATTATCACTGGGCAAGCACGAAGTTGGCATAAGCTTTTTCGGATACAATCTGCAGTAGGTCGTGCCAACTCTACCGCTCACCTGAAGGTCGGCCATTGTGGGCCGAAGATAGGTGGGCTGCCTTGTGGATGGGCTCCTCTTGGACAACACCAACTTTCCTGCCTTGATTTGATTTCGATTTGGCTTCCACATAGGGTGTCTAAATCCTATTCGGATTACGTGATCTTAGTGGGAGAAAGGCTTTCCCACTTTACATTGTGGAATTCATACAAAAAAAACTAACTAGCCATGATGTAGTCATACCACAAAAATGCAAAAGTAATACTGTATCAGAGCAAATTTTTATAAGCGGATTAAAAATAAGAGAAAG